TTGAAGGTGTCGCAAGAAGGAGAGTCGACCAGGCAAGAGGCCGCGGGAGTTAGGTATCGGTCACCTGCCAAGTTATGGGGAGGCGTCCGAGGTGCTTGGAGGGGCGAGGTGGCCGCGCAACGCCGGATGTGATCTGCGTCAAGAGGTTCGTGGGTTTGCAGGCAAGCCCCTACGTGGCGCAGCGCAGAGAGTTGCCGCAGTGAAATCGACACGGACCGCAGGAAAATCTCACAGTCGTAGTGTTCCGCAACGAAATCGCAAAAGGGTTGGAATCGCGATGCTGCCAATGATGCCGTTTGTGTCGCCGCCAAACGGAGGGTGGGTGCAAAATAGAGAAAATAAAGTAAAGACAATCAATACCTATGCAGGAGGGGCAGAGAAGAATAGTAATACAAAAATCCAGAAAAAAAAAGAAGCACCCCGACAGGCGCGCCGACAGGGATGTCCCTCCTTGGACCAAGAACGTGCCCCGTGTCAGGTCTGGATGACGAAGGCTGCGGGCGGGACATGGGAGGTACGAACAAGGGCCTCAGCGAAAGAGGGCTGAGCAAAACTCGGCCTGAGCTGGTGACGCGGGGTTGCACAACCAGAATGCCGGCCCAATGCCAGGGGTCCAGGCCACGCCGCATGTTCTAGGCCAAGGCCCAACCCCGTGGATGGAGCTGGAGCCGCCACGAACCGAGTCGAGCCTGGCCACGATCGGGCATGGAGCCAGGCGTGCGGGTGGCCCAGGTGGACACCCGGCCTCGGCTTGGAGCCTCTCGCTCTCAACGCTCAGCTAGGATGGAGCGGGATTCTATACCAGGGTGCCACAACGCACTGTCTGCGCGTTCTTGCCAAGGCCGTGTCCGTTTGTGTGTTTGCTGCCCATCTGCGTCTTTCGGATTTGCTGGTTCTGCGTGGAGGGGGTCGCCTTGAGCTTGCCTGCGCGAGCTCAATCCCACCCCCTCCAAGCTTCCCGCGTCATCATCGTCTTAGCTCCACGCCAGGCAGCAAGGCGAACGAAATGTCAGCGTGATCCACGGCTTTAGCACCAAAAACCCGGTCATCCTATTCGACGCTTCTTCTTTTTTTTTCTTTTTTTCTTCTTTTTTTCTTCTTTTTTTCTTCTTTTTTTCTTCTTTTTTTCTTTCTTTTTTTTTTTTCGAGTGCAAACAACGCTCAACCCCATTCAGATCAACGTCGGCGAAAGTGCGGAAGTTCCCCATGCACATATTTTCGCACGCTCTCGTGATGTGACCAATGGTATATAGCGATAAGCTACGTCCCCACGCCTCGTTTGGTCGTGTCGGAGTAGCGGCGCTGCCTTCATCATTTGTAAACAGGAATCCATACCACAAGCGATGCTGTGCTCCTGCTGCAAGCAAGTGTTTGACGAGCCCGCCGTCATTCAAGGCGAGAATGGCGCATGGCGCTGTACGGCGAAATGGTCGCTCACCTTGGCCGCCATCAAGAAGAGCAGCGTGTTCTGCGTCGCCTGCCACGCCATGGTTCGCTTGCTCAAGAGGCAAACCCTCTGGCACGGGAGGGAAGATCTGGTCCTTCATCTTAGCAGCAACCTAGCGAGCGTCGGATTTTTCCAAGGCCGGTTACCTTGTGTATTTTTCAAGGTTGACGATGCTGAGACGAGGACGAACTTGTCGGAAATCATACTGCTCATCGAGCAAGTGAATGATCAGGGTCTGTGAACTCAACGAGTACCCTCCGATTATGGGCCCCCATCTCTAAGAAAACATGTCGCTGCTAGGTTCACTCGAGCTTCTTGCCCAGCCGACATCTACGAGTACCAACTCCCCCGAGACATTTGCGTTCGTCAAAAAATGCATGCAAAACTGTCTGACCAGTCACAAAATTTGCCAGGGCGGCACCACTCAACCGCCTTGGTACCCAACGCGCCTCATCCAAGTCGAGCATTCCCAGGCGAGGCTGGTCATCACACGGGACACGCCACCCAGAGGCCCGTATGCGACATTGAGCCACTGTTGGGGCGGGCGCGCCGATGTCAAGCAGTGCACAACCAAAAACCTGGAGGAGCTCAAGAACGGCATCGCACTTACATCCCTGCCCGCCAATTTCCAAGATGCCATACATGCTGCGCAAGCCCTCGGCATCAACTACATATGGATCGACTCTCTGTGTATCCTCCAGGATTCCGATGCCGACAAGATAACCGAGATCAAGACTATGCTTAACGTCTACCGGCAGAGCGTCCTGACCCTCGCCGCCACGCGGGCTGTCGACAGCCACGCCGGCATGTTCGTCACTCGCTCGCCCGAGAACCTGTCTTCAGGGCCATTCCGCATTTCCAACGGCGCCCTGGACGGCATGTTTGTCGCTGTAGAGGCTGCCGTAGACTCCCGCTGGCACTGGAAAGATGTGATCGATCACGCGCCGCTCAATGAGCGTGGCTGGGTTCTGCAAGAGCGATATCTCTCGCCTCGCCTCGTGCACTTTACCGACGACCAGGTCATATGGGACTGCGCCGAGTCCACCGCGCCCGAGTTTGTCCCCTCGGGCGCCCGGGCTCTACCGCAGGTAGAGTCTTCCGGCATCGGACCCAAGCGCTATTCGAGCATCCTGGTCTCCTCCCCCGAGAAAGACCAGGCGCCGGGGCAGTGGTCCAGAATCGTGGAATCATACTCACGGTGCCGACTCTCGCACACGTCGGACAAGCTCCTCGCCCTTTCGGGCGTCGTGGAATCGCTACAGAGCGTGCTCGGAGCTAACGGCGGCCCCTGTGTGGGTTTGTGGAGGTTTCAGATGGAGATACAGCTTTGCTGGAGAGCCGAGCACTCCCAGGTGGACATTCCTACCAGAAATCGATTTGCTCCCTCGTGGTCCTGGATGAGCGTAGACGGGCCAGTCATCACCTCCCAGCTGCAACACTACCACGACGAAGGATATGATACCCAGCTGCTCGCTCAGATTGTCGGCGTTGACATGGACATACCCGAAGAGAACAGCAGCTGCCAGCACGGGAGCCTGCGCCTCCGCTGCATCCTCAACGCCGTCCAGCTGGAGGCGGGGCCTTCGCCCATCCTCACAGGTGCCACCATGCAGAAGAATTCGGTGGTGCAGTTTGATTCGGCCGACGCGGCTGATCCTGCTGGGCCATTATTCTTTGCACCCATTTTTGGCGTCGGGGATGCGCCTGAGCACACGAAAGGACCATACCCGCCGCTCGAAGTCAGAGGACTTTTGTTGGAGTTGATAGGGGATGAGGCGGCTGGAATTTATCGACGCCTCGGGCATGTGCTCACCTGCTCGAATGAGGAGCTTTATTACAGCGGGGACTTTAGCGATGGCTACCTCGACATGCTCCCGCCGGGTGTTCGCCCCGGTCAACCTGCTTCTGTCGATATGTTTGGTGGGGCAGGGAAGACGATCACCATAAGATAACACAGCATCTGTCCGAATATACGACATCAAGGCACCGTGGGTCCTGACCTCTTCACACGCGCGGCCCTCGCATTATTCTTGTTAGGTCTCCTTCCGTCCTTGATGTTGCAGGTTCCTTTGGGTACGTATATTTGATAATAATCAATATGGCGACACCCAATTCCCTTTGCTTTAACTTGCGAAGTCCCGTGTGCTGCAAACATGTTCAATGACTGCTAGCCATGAACACCACACGTGCTTCATCGACGCCCAAGGCTGTTTCGTGCCTTCCCTCCGACACAGCTCACGCCGTGCACAACCAGATCTAGGCTCCCGTCCCAAACGCAAGCGTTCCTTCCTCAGCGACCAAGCGTCCGAAAAATCCATCTCCATCTCCCACAAAAATCTTGGGTTCCAACACGATCTCGCCCCAGCCTCTACTAAGCCCCTTTTCTCACACATCCTGAACAGACGACAGCTCCTACAGAAGACCCTCCAGCACCAGTCTGTAATGACTGGCGGCGGCAAAACGCGCTTGCCAGAATGCCACCCCGGTCGCCGACACCAGATTGCGGGACGCTCCAGGGCCCTGACGCCTTGATCGCTGGGGGGAGAGAAAGCACAGACAGAGATGAGTCGTCAGGACAGTGCTCAGAATATCTTCCGAGTTCCAAGCCGGCGGGCCGGGTGCCACCTGCCCCTCGACCCCAAGCGCGCAAGCGAGGAAAGCCTAAGCGGTCAATTGCCAACGAGGCCATTGTCGAGGAAGAGACCAAGAAGCTCCCGTCGCCCAAGAAGCGCGTGTCCAGGAAGCCCCAGCCGCGTATGCCATCCAGCTATTCTTTACCTTCCTCGCCCTTGGTTCCCGAAGCGACCCTTGAGAAGGTGGAGAAGGCGGAGAAGGCTCTGCCCAGGTCTACGGCACTGGAAGAGCCTCGGGGACGCAAGCGTGGGGCAAACTCCGATCTCGCCTCGATCTTGTTCAAAAAGGTCGTGGCTGCGAAACCCACGGAACCTCTGAGCTCCCCCGAACAAGAAAGCCCTCTACCGAAACATGCACCCAGAGATAGAGCTGTACGCGACGTCCTGAATGTTTTTGAATCCGACCCCCTCTCGTCACCACCATCAGGCAGTGGCTTGCTCCCCAACCTCACACAGATTAGCGACTCGCAAGAGATCTTCGATATCGTCCAATTCTCTGGGCGCCCAGATGACACAAGCGACACGGCCCCAACAAGCCCGGTCGGCCGCCGCACCAAAGCAGAGACATCGACCGCGGACAAGACGGGAAGCAGCCCCAATCCTCCTTCCGAGGATGTCAAATTCCCATCCATGGCTACCATGTCACATGATGATGACAGTACCGCCGCTCCTTCCGCTCCAGCTTCTGAGGGCGACTACTATTCTCCCGCGCCACGTGTGCTGTCAGCAACCGGCTCTGATCCGCCGTCACAGCAACCGCCAAGTCCCGAGCCTCGCGTTGTCTTCGCCGTCACTTCGCCGCCTTATACCTTACGCAAACCCAGTCAAGCTGCACCCAGTTTCCCGCCGGCACTCGGCCCACATGTTGAGCCAGTCACGCAGGAATCTCCTGTCTCAGCACATGCTCTTCGACCTACCATAGTTGTGCTATCGTCTTCGTCGTCCTCACCAGACCCATCGCCTCGCAAGGTACGGTTCCGGCCACCAGGCGCGAACACCTTCAGGTCAGCAGACGATAAGAAAAGGCCCCCAAGCCCTAGCCTTCCCGCACGAAACTCACCTCGCCCCACACAAACTTCCAAGCGACTCTCAAGACATGGCATCTACACCACAAGCTCGCCGGACCCAACCAGAGCATCACCAGGCCCGCAGACTGATGTTCTGGAAGAAAGCCCGGCAGGCTCCGGATCGGATGGCCTTGATGGCCCATCGCAATATCAGCGGGAAGTGCTGCAGACCATTTCAAGGATCATTGATGTAAGAAAATATTTCTGGGTCAATACTCCATCGGAGCTAGCTAACATGAAGCTTGTAGTCTACCATGGAAGATCTCAACCGCAAGGAGGCCGCCCTGGACATGGTCACGAGCGACTTTGAGCAGTTGATGCAAACTATCGATATGCTGTGCAGGATGCATCAACGGGAGCAAACAGAACTCATCTTGCACTACAAGAAAAGGTGCGACCACGTCATCCGAGACCTTGAGAGCGCCCGCAAAGGAGTCAAGCAATCTCTGCAAGACCCAGACTTGCTTGACTTTGATTCGTTCGTGGCGGAGGCTGAGACTCTCAGCACGGACACCAAGCGCCTTCTTGGCAAGTTCGGTCATTACTAGTCTGACGCCCGTGACACCCACTAGTGGATAGCTTCAGTTTTTCTTCCGATCGCCTGGGTCGCCGTTATTCCCCATTCCTGGGAGGTGGTATCTCATCCACACACACACACACAATGACTTGATGGGAAATCTCGGGTACTTTGCTTGATGTAGCTACCAATTTGCAGAGATGATGGGGTGGCACTTGCCTGTACATACAGCTTGATCGTAATTGGCTTTAAAATTGACTTGCGAAGAATATCGATGTGCTACCGAATTTGAAGATTGACTGTGGCGTCCTGTGAGCACTACAGCATCTATCCGGGCTCCAGACCGAGCTTCCCTGCATGGCTATGCTCCCGGTAACACATGCTTCCCTTTGGATGCTCGGTCGAGCACAAAAAGCGGCATTGTCAAGAGTACGCATATCAGGGAGCTTATTAGCTGCCAAGCTGTCCAGACCAAGGGGCCCAGGACAGGGACGACGAAGCGGAGGTACTCGTTGACCTGGTAGTGGTCCTCCTGCTTGGCGATCATGTACCGCGGCCTCGCGACGGCTGTGTCCCGGGCCCCACTGTCTTTTTCCCCCTCCTTCTGCCCTTGCTGAGCTCCTTGTTCATGCAGCGGCCCCGACGCCGCTCCCACGTTGGATGGGGTCTGCTGCGCCAGGTGAACCTCGGTCACGAGGCGCACGTTTGCGCTGTAAAAAGGGAGGAACCAGACAGTGAAGCGCTGCCGGATGATGAGGCAGAGGATGTGGTTTTGCTTGTCGTAGGTTTTTTTTATCATCCGTCGCCGTGGACCGTCACTGTCGGCCTCCAAAGGGCAACGCGATTCTCACCACATTCCCCATGTTACGCAACGCCCTCGGCTTCCTCTGGGATCCGTATGCAAGTGGTAAAAAAAAGAAGGTAGGGGCTAGCACACACCCCTAGAGCCTAGAGTCGATCTGGAAGTCGATGCGCGGGCTCAGGAAGCGGTACCAGCGGTAGATGGCGGCGATGGCGTCGCGGGAGCACACGACGTGCTCCCGGCGCGGGAAGAGGGCTCCCGGCACGCGCGTCGGCTGAAAGCGCGGCACGCGGTAGAAGGGGTGGGCGAAGGCGGCGTCGGGCAGGAAGTAGGCCTCTATCGCGCCCTGCTGCTCTTCAGCGCCGCCCTGGCAGAGCGCCCGGAGGACGGCGTCGATGTCCTCGACTATTTTTTTTTGTTGGCTGTCAGGCCCGGGGGGGACTGTCTGCGATGGGGGTGGAGCAAGGGGTCACCTGGGTTCTCCATTGCGGTGTTGGGTTGATCAGGGGAAGCCACTGGTGATAGGGCGGAGAGGGAGGAGAGAGGTGGGTGGACGGCGAGGATGAGGCTGATCGGTCGGTCGTTTCTTGGTGTTGGCGTGGTGTTGCACCTCGTGCCGCCCGCCCTTGGCCAGGGGAGGTCGAGTGACGACATGCTGACGCCCGACTTCCCAGGACCTACCGTAGCCGGGCTAATCGCGCCCGAGGAGACAGTCCGTCCAACGAAGAATCGGATGAAGCAGTCGCGCAAAACACTAAAAATGCCTTGCCGGCGCATGGACTCGCCAGCACGCTCGCAATTGGGTCTATTGTGCATCAGGCAATCAGCGTCTTCCTCCGCCGTCGATGGCCCGCTGCCAGCCATGATTCGCGGCCTTCCCAGGGGCAGCCTCGGGCTCAAAAGTCATCCCATCCCAATGGCCCTGATCGGGACTAGGATGTAACAAGCACGGGGTCACATGTTTTGTCTAGCTTTGATTGACATTTCCTCCTTGCCAGACGCTTCGACCTTTCCTAGCTCCTGATCCTGGTAAAATCGTGATATTTGCCTCTTTGGCCTTTGCATCCCGCGAACCCTCGCCCAGACCCCAGACCCTTCTTCTGCCATCACCCCTTGCACAACGAACTCCCCGCTAAAAGCTCCCCCCCCCTCATCCCTCCCCTCCTCGCGCCTGTCCCAGCCGGCGCGCAGCGTGAGCCGGGTCTCGAGGTCGGCCACCTTGTCCGGCACGGCGAGGCCGACGCCCAGGAAGACGAAGAGGGCCCACCTCCAGCGGAAGGGGTTGAAGGAGATGCAGAAGACGAACCACTACATGAGCTCCAGGTAGGTGAAGAAGTCAAAGGCCGACGTGGGGCCGGCCGCCTTGAGCACCTTTGTCATGTCGATCCAGCGCCGCATCCACCAGGGCGCCGGGCGCGTGAAGGGGTCCACGAGGAACACGAGCAGCGTGCGCGTGTAGATGCCGATGTGCCAGTTGCCAACGGTGCCGATGGCGGAAACGTAGGTGCTGGTTCGGCCAGTGTTAGTCAAAAATGGATGGGACAGGAGGTCAAGCACCGGAGGGCGGCGTTGCTTACCAGTTGATGGCGCACACGGACGGGTGCATGGGTGGGAACGCCTGGAGGTACCAGTCCAGCGGGCCGTACGGGTCCTCGAAGCAGTCGTCGGGCAGAAACGCCAGCGATGGCCGCTTGAACCCAGTCGCCATCACCACCACGTCCGCGCCCACGCGCCTCTCCTTCCCCGGCCCGCTGGCCGGCACGCCCCTGGCGCGCTGCTTGACGGCGACACCATCCTTCACAAAGCCTTCGACATCGCAGCGCACCCACTCGGCGCGGCCGGAGCGCAGGTGGCGCATGACTTCCGAGTTGACCATGGGGGTGTCGGTGAAGATGCCCTTATCCTTTGGTGGAGACAGCTCCTCGAGGTCGCGGTAGAAGAGCTTGCGCAGCAGCAGCTCGGGGACCCACGAGAAGACGGTCTCCTGGCCCAGGACGTTCCAGGAGAGAAGCACGTCGACGAGCAGGTTGCGCGGGATGATCCACTTGTCGCTGCGCGAGATGATGGTGGCGTGCACCGCGCCCTGGTTGAACGCCTACTCGAGCGCCTCGACCGCGCTGGCGCCGCCGCCGATGATGGCGACGTTTTTGCCCTTTGGCGATTTGCTGTTGCGCACCCGTTCTTATCAGCGGCTAGACTGACAACCAGGGGGATTAGTTGCTTCGATTACTTACTCCGATAGCTGACTTGAGTGGTAAATCTCCCTCACAAAGTCGCCCATGCCCTGAATGTGCGGCATCTTTGGCTCGCCGCATGCCCCGACGGCGGCGATGAGCCCCTCGAAGCGGCCGAGGCTAGGATCGTCGTTGATGACCCAGCGGCTCTTTGCGTCCTGCGAGGCCGTCGTCACCTTGGTGTCGAAAACAGTCCTACCCTCGAGCCCGTATCGGCTCCAGACGCCCTCGACCAGGCCAGGGTCTCGTCCTTGTTAGGGTACCCGCGCGACCAGCGCACCGCCGGGTAGAAGCGGTACATGGCCGAGTGGATCTGCAGCTTGGACGAGTCGTTGACGCCCGTCCAGATGCCACCCAGCCGCCCGCGCGGGCCGGCCTCGAAGAGCACCACGCCGAAGCCGTGGCCCACACACTGCGCCGCCGCCGACACGCCCGTGATGCCCGCCCCGACCACGGCGATGCGCGGGCGGTCCGCCGGCGCGTGCCCGTTCTGCGACGGCGGCGGGCGCGGGGCCAGAGCCTTGTTGGCGAGCCATTGGAACGCGGCTAGGCCGGCCTCGAAGGGGGCCGTCACGACGTCTTCTGGGCGCCACATCTTCGGGGATTCGCTGAGTCGGCTGTTTCTGCGATGGCTATGTGGGTTGCTTGGCCGTCAAGTCGATGTGGTGCTGTCTCGTCTACATGTCGGGTCGCGAGCGAGGTATGGTGAGGGTTTTGTTCTCCGTGGTGCGCTATGGTTTGAGAACTTGCGCAAGGCGCACTGGTCGTTTCTTGTGCTGCGAGCGATACGAATCGACTGAGGGGCTACGTCATCCGGACATCAGACAGTGGGACGTTAGGTACATAGTATGAGGAACATGTGAAGGAGATAGCAAATATAAATGGACGGCGTTCAAGATGGAGGGACTGTGCAATGCATCACGTCACAGCCGCCTTGTTCTTGTTTTTAGTTTGGGTAAGATGAAACGACATAGCTGAGCCTACGTCTGTATTTGAAGGAGAACATGATAGAGGAGTTCTTGATCATTGTTTGGCCGCGGTGTGTTATCAGGCCTAGAAAGAAAATGCATTAATATATGTACAGGTATGCGGCTAGTCTACGCGCTACGCGCTGCAAAGTGGTGAAAACCTTTACGCACGTCTGCGCTACCGTGTCACTGTAGGTCAAAGATGCATCATCCGTGGACGGATGGTAATAATGATAGCGACGGTGAGGGCAACGGCGTCAAGTCCCGTGATTTCTAGCATATGCTAGTCGGTATGCGGAGCTGAGAGATGTACATTGAACCCTGAGAAGTTGAAGGCAACGGTTTTCAACAGAACAGGATGAGCTCTCCCTCTTCAAATCCCACTATTTTCCTTCCGGTCAGCTCGAAATGACTGGGTATGATACGGGACATCGGCGGCGGCAGCCTAATCAGTCGTCTATCGTATCGTGAGAGACACAGACCCTATCACCGCTGCCCGCTGGATTGGCTGAGACCTTGAAGCAAGCCGCCCGCTCTCGCGGAGCCGGCCCTAGCTCGATCAGAGCCAGTAGTTAAACCAGCGGACGGCCTGAACAAAGGCGGCCTGCTTAGCAAACCTGGCCTCGGGGTCAGACATGTTGACGCGAACGCCAAAGCCATGGGCCACGCCCGAGTAAAGCGCCAAGGAAGATGCGGCGTCGGTCGACAGCAGCGCCGTCTCAATCTCCCACCTGCGCTTCGGCGGCATCAAGAACGGATCGTTCTCTTCACATCGATACATGTCAGCTAGGCACCACGCACACACGCCTTGGCGACAGCAGCAAGCAGCAAAAAAAGCACCGAGACACAGGGGAAGATGCACCACTCACCGGCAGCAGCAACGGTCGCAGGCCCGACCCGCCCCACGATCTCCTCGTCGGTCACGCGCGTCGGGTGCGCCGTGGCCACGACGTCGACGCCCAGGCCGGCGGCGTGCTTGGCCGCGGACGCGTAACGGAACGCGTAGCGGCCGCCGAAGCAGTAGCCGGCGGACCCAAGGCGCGCCACGCCCAGGGCGCCGCGAAGGTGGCGAGCGGCGGCGTCGACGGCTGGCTCCGTCACGTTGGGCGGGTGCGCGTCCAGGAACTCGATGACGCTGAAGCCCAGGTCCGGCCGGTCGTGGTCGTCGGGCGCCGGCTTGCCCGCGAACAGGTCGGGCGCCACGACGACGTAGCCCGCGCGGGCGAAACTGTCTGCCAGCCTGCGGTGGTGCGTGAGGGGCACGGTTAAGACATATGGTTCTGTTGCTCCGTTTTCGGGAGGGGGCTTGGCTCACAGGAGATTCTCAAGAAGCGGCAGCCCGAGCACGTCCGTCAGATGGAGAATACCGGCTTTGGGCTGTTGGCCACGTGTGTGGTAGCCTGGCGGGTAAGTGATGTACATGTCGACTGGAAAGCGAACGCTGTCAGCCTGGTCTGTGTGAAGAGGCTGAGAGATAGGTAGGCCCTTGGCCGTGGCAAGAAAGGGGCTCAACAGACATCCATCGACTTTTTTCATGACACCGCTCGGACGCCCCTCGTTTATCAAGACCGGGTCACCGCTGGCTGGTGACGCGTCACGCGGTAGGCTCACACCCGCCACAGAGACCGCCAGGAAGAAGTTGATCAACAGGCTGTGGAACTTCATGGTGGTTACAATGGAGTGATTGAGTTGGTTTGGATAATGGCTAGGTTTGCTCATGGGTTTACCTGGGCGGCCGGTATGGTCATTTTATGCCATCTAGGGCCAGGCTTCGGGGCCGACGTCTATCGGGGTTTGCTCTTTGATACCACTCCGAGAATGGCCTCCTCACGGAATTTACTCATCCTTCATCAAACCCAACCTGATGAAGAAATTCGTGGCGCATTAAGGATGGAACGTTTCCTTAACCGAGATGCCCGCATTTCTATAGCTTAGTAACGACATGTGCCTAAAGGCGACGTTCGGGATCTGGTACCGCCATCCCCAATCACCGCCCGCCCATCATTGGTTCCTCCGCAGCTCATGGTTGTACAGCCGCTTGAGAAAGTCCTCGGCCTGCTCGGTCCTCTCGCTGTCTGGGCCCGCGTACATTCTAAGTTCCCACACCGCCCGTGTCGCCGAATCCCGTGCCTGCCCCCACTGCCTTGCGGCGAGGTAAAACTCGGCATCCATCGCGGCCATGTCGCCGGCCTGGGCCTCAAAACCCTCCTCGAACATGATGTTCTGCATCTCGTCCATGTCGTTTCGGACGATGCAGTCGTAGCTGCCACCCGCGAAGTCCTCCCGAAATTCCGGGTCGCTGAGGCCTTTCAGGATGTCTTGCAAGCGCATGCGGTTGCTGTCTGATGCCTGGACGATGTGTGGGTCTGCGGAGCAAAGAGAGCAAGTGCATTCGAAGCCCCAGCGGCCGAGGAGCTGGCGGCGGTCCTCGGAGAGGATATTTAAAGGTGTGTCTAGAGAGGGCGGAGACGCCGAGCATTCTTGTCAGTAGTGTTCAGGTGGCATTTCCTTTCGGCCCGCTCCGGTCAACGTCTGTTGCCCACTCACAGCTCACGGTCAGCTCTGTGCCCGGCTCGATCTCCCTATACGCCACCACCTCCAGCTCCATGGTGCTTCTCCTGTATCGAACGTATGTGCTGTTTTCGCACGTTAGTATGCATGGGTGGGGAGTAGGACGCCAAGGTTTGACCTACTTTGGCTTGCACGCGTGGTTGATTCTCTGTTGAGTTCCCGGCAAACCCGTTAGCTGCCGTCTCTGGTGACTGTGTATGTACGCTGGCAGCACGGCTAGACTCACAGCAATTTTAGGGTACAAGCCCGAATGTGGCACCCCATTGAGTGTGATGGCGAAGCTGTTGGCTTTCATGATCCCTTCCACTATGTGCTCTTTGCTGTGGTATGACAGCGCCTTGACATGAGCCCTGTCCGCGGGCGGCAGGCGTGCGAGCGCTCTGTCCAGCATCGCGCGGTGCTGCCGGGAATCGACACTCCAGTGCCTGGCCATCATGTCGACCAGGACCGGCCTCTCTCGGAAGAGCAGCTCGCCAGGCATAATGCTCGCGTTGGCAACCACGCCCATCCCCTTCCCTTCGACCGGCCGCACCTCGTACGGGGGCGGAGACCGGGACTCCCGCACGTGCGCGTCCGGTTCCTTTCGCCAACCTGTCGGAGCCACTGGAAACACGCCCGACGATGAAGGGAGGCCCCAGGCCAAATCGAGCCCGTCGACCAGCGGCGCCGTCGCGGCCGCGATGCTTGGGGTTGTCAGGATGGAGATTCCAGAGCCAGACCCTGCCAGCGAGGAATGCGTGTAGATGCAGTAGGGGGCTTTTCCGTTTCTGGTTGGCTTCGAGCAGATGGGAAGTCGTGTCCAGGGCTCCCAGGTCCCCTTTTGCGCCGACGTCGCATCGTCAACCTCTGTCGGGCAGCTGCTGAAGATGGAATGCTCGCCTCCACCGGGCGGGCTTCGTGACAGCGATGGCCCAGCAGGATTCCAGAGGCATTGTCGGGGCCCAATGTATGCCGCTGCTGTGATAAGCTGCCACGCATAAAGCGCGCAGAGGATAAATGTCTGGTACTTGGAGGCTGCGAGCATTGTTGAGAGCTCAGAAGCGCAGATACACGGCTGTTTGTCGGGTTTGGCGTGGAAGAGAAATAGTTCTGCATCTAGTGAGATGGTTAGTCGATGGAAAATCCGGTCATCCTTCGGGATCATCTTGACGGTCATCCTCTAGGATCAGCGTGGCGCAGAGAATCCATTGGCCGCCGTGTTAATAGCCGTACCTGACCCCAAGACACGTTTGATTAGCCTGATATGCGGCTTGAGACGGGCCGTCGCTTTGAGGTGAACAGCGTTGGATCAAGGGGAATGCCAAGCGTGTTGTTGGACTGGACGACTCCTATTTTGACGGCGGTGACCAAGACGATCAGCGTGAATGCCTCAATGACGACAAAGATTGAGTAGGTCGAGGTGACTGTGAGCTACCCAATTGGATGGCGAGGGCTGAGCTGATTGGGCCAAACTGTATGTCTGTGGCGGCTGCAGCTGCCAGACAGGGAGGGGTATGGCTCTGCTGGGGGCTCCTTCCTCAAGAAGGCGGTTTTTGAGCTCAGGCGGCATCCTCGGCGCAAAACGGAATGACAGCTATCAAACACGGACCAGCTCCCAGCAGAGAGCAGGTCGGAGACATTTTTGATAATGGCTGCCTGGTGCCTGGTCAGCTCTTGGGGAGACAAAAGACCAAGAACCAATACCTAGTAGCTAGCAAGCACTCGTTTTTCTCCCTTGACAGCTCTTTGTTTTCTTGGTGAATCTCGAAGATGGTGGATGCGCCCTGCCACGCTTCTTGAGCTCGGCAATACCCGTTCCCATGTCATCGAAACCCAGAGAGGTGGACGAACGCGAGGGACGAGCCGTGAGATCCTGGACGTTCGCTAGCATTGAGTTTCTCCGTCTGTCGAGCTACCGACGGCGACAGATATTCCGCCAACCAACGCCGACGGCGGATCCCCACAGCCCCAAGCTACCCCGGCCCCGAGCGAGGAGATGCCACCAGACAAACGTTCTTTGCAGCCTATAGTTTGGTCCGTTCCTGGACTTCAGACCCGTTTATTGCGTCAACGGCTAGCCTGCCGAGATGGACCAGACCAAGGCGTGCGGGGAAACCCAGATTCTCGCCCCGCTTCCCCAATCTTGAATGCGAGGGGCTCGCTACGCCAGGGGTAAAATGGCTAAGCTTGCCATCGACACATCGGCCTCGGCCGCACAATTTCCCCACCACCTTGCGTCCTTTCCACCGCCTTTCGAGATGCCGCAGGTGCCGGCTGGGTGGATTGGGGGATGTCCTGGAGATCTATAAGAGAGCCGAGCCGCTAGAGACTGCTGCGCTTGTGTGCTAGGGGCCAAGGGCCACACACCACCACCAACGCCAACGTCCCACGCGCCGACAATGAAGCTGTCCTCCCTCGCAACCATCGCCGGCACGCTCGCCGCCGCCGCCGCCGCCGCCGCCTTCGCGGTTGAGCCACCTCCCGGCGTGCCGCGCAACGCCCTGGAGTTCCGCGAGAAGCACCCCGTCGCAAGGCGCTCCGCGGGCTGCCGCAAGACCGTCACCCCGCGCGCGTCCACCCACGACCTGGACGATGTGTCTGCCGAGTTTGAGCAGGCCGTGCGTCAGGCCAACAAGGGCGGCACCGTGTACCTGCCCAAAGATCAGACGTTTGTCATCGGCAAGCCGCTGGACCTGACGTTCCTCGACGACTTTCAGCTGCACCTCGAGGGCACGCTCAAGTTCACCAACGACACGCCGTACTGGCAGGCAAATGCCTTTTACCATCCGTTCCAGCGGTCGTTGATGTTCTGGAAATGGGGAGGTGAGTTCGGCATCGCAAAATCCGAGGAAGCATCGAGGCTGACACTGTATGATCCCGCATGTAGGGAAGGACATCAAGATATATGGCGAGGGCACCATGGACGGCAACGGCCAGAGGTGGTGGAATGAGTTTGCCGGCCTGGAGTATAACATCTCTTCTTTGCTCACTTCTCAAGCAAGGCTACGACGGAGCAGCTAACGAGTGATAGAATCCTGGACCCCAACAACCCCTACCTGCGCCCCATTCTCTTCTACGCCGAGAACACCACAAACCTAGAGATCACGGGTATTCAGATGAAGAACAGCCCTGTGTGGCACAATTTTGTGGTCACCTGTGAGTGCACCTCTCCCAATGGCCACTGAGAACCAGCTTCTAACACACGCACATTCCAGCCAAGAACATCAGCTACAAGGATGTTATCATCGAGGCCATCACCAACAACGCCACCGCTCTCCCCAAGAACTCGGACTTCTTCAACTCCCTCAACGTGGAGGGGGTCAACGTCGAGCGCGTCTGGGTCAACGTCGGCGACGACTGCTTCTCACCAAAGTCGAACACGAGTGTAAGACATGCCCCTACCTCGCGTCGAAACGCCATTACCTGAGCTAGACACTGATAGCCCACCTCGGTGCGCTAGAAAATCCACGTCGACACCATGTACTGCAACGGCACCCACGGCCAGTCCCTGGGCTCTCTGGGCCAGTATGCTGGCGAGACCGTCTATGTCGAGGACGTCGTCATCGAGAACGTCTGGATGCTCAACGGCGACTACGGCGGCCGCATCAAGGTGTGGGCCGGGGAGAACGTCGGGCAGGGATGGGTCCGCAACGTCACCTACCGCAACTTCTGGACCGGCAGGATCGACTACGCAAGTGCCCCCCCCCCCCCCCCCACTACACAACAACAGTCTTCTGATCTCACACACACACGTCGCTAACAATACACCGTGACCTGCCCAACAGGCCGCCTTCCTCGACTCGTGCTACTTCAACATCCCCGCCGAGCAGTGCAACCGGTTCCCGTCCAAGATGAACGTGACCGACGTCACGTTCGAGAACTTCTCGGGCCACTCGAGCGGCCGCTACGGCAACGCCGTGGCCCGCCTGACGTGCTCGACCAGCGCGTCGGCCGTGTGCAGGAACATCACCTTCAAGAACTTCAACGTCACCACCCCGTGCGGCGGCAAGCCCGTCGTCATCTGCGACGGCGTCAGCGGGCTCGGCCAGGACTGCGTGCCGTTCGACAGCGCCGAGGCCCGCGCCGCCCTGGCCGCCAAGTGCAGCATCCCGCCCGTCGCCATCGCGCCGCCCTGGCCTGTCCGGGAGTGGAAGTAGGCGGGGACGGCTGGGTGGGGTTCGTTTGCGGTTGTGAGCGGTGGAGAGATGGACAGGGCTAGGATGTCTTCGCTAATTGTGCTTTTATGCCAAGCCACGCCTTTTGAGCTCATCATAAACACTTTTCCGTACACACCATACTGATCCTCCTTCCTGAATGGTCTTGCTATCCCCGTATACCTGCTAGTTCTACCACTCGGATCTGTCTATACGTTGACATCTTCTGCCGAATATGGAGCCCTTTGACAGTTTTAGCATACTTGTGGAGCAGCTTTGTGCGTGGCACTGCCTATAGATACCGTTCCAGACCGCCGCGGCCACACGCTGATTCTCTCCACAGCTTTGGTCCGGGTCTAGTCTTTTCCTTTCTCCGAGCCTCCAAATCCTGGGTTGGCTGGGGCATATAATGGCCAGAGCTCTGCGCATCAAGGCAGTGGCCAGTAGAGACCAGGCGAAGAGGAGTGGCTGTCGGCGTGGGACGGACATGACGACAGCAGGAGATCTAGCAATTTTCCGTGACCCAAAAAAGATCCAAGCCCTGATTAATGGTTTCTAGCAAGAACTGAGGCACAAGCTACGCAGATGGGGCATTAGGCGCCAGACTAGGGGACATTGGAAGCAGGGTATAGATGTTTTGCATTTGGATAGCGTGTGTGCTCGCCTTTTCCACCCTTCGGTATCAATGAACACGTGTCTGACTCGGCTCGACCAGCTTGGGCAAGGAATGAATAGTCTCCCAATTCCATCAGCTCATCCATCAGTCTCCTCATCCGTCAGTCTCCCTCTATCAGAGCTGGTTATGGTTAGCTGGATAGTTTAGTCAGGTGAGGGAAAATTGAGGTGAGGTGGGGTGAATGGAAAACTTGCCTTGAAGTCGCCCTTGAGCGGCTGCTTCGGGCCCTCATCCTCCTCGGGCTTTGGCTCGTCCTCGATGTCCCCGTCAGCCGCGACAGCGCGGCCTGCGGCGTCGGCGTCGGCCTCGTCGCTGGCGTCGGCGTCTTTCTTGACTTGGGCCGTGGTGTAGCTACAGCCATGTCAGCCCATCTCTAAATAACGGCTCGGAACGCACTTGATATCATCGGTCGAACTAACCTGCCACCAGCCGATCCAGTACTGACGGCGCTTCGGCTCAAGAAGCTTGCGGCGACACGTCAAGCTCGGATTGTATCGTCCAGGGCACTGGCGCCACCGCCCTTGTCACTATCGCGGCCGCCGGTGGGGTCGAAGTTCGAGGACTGGGGTCCGTTTGCTTGGCCGTCATGACCCGAATAACCTGATCCTTGGAAACGATAAGTTCACCCCAGGTACCGCCGCCTGATATTGGCGGTGGATTCTGGGGTGAACTTATCGTTTCCGAGGCCGACACGGATCATCGTATCTGGAAACGTTAGCCAGGACGAAAATATAGAGAGAGCAAAAGGTATGGGTAAACTCACTCGACAAATCCATAGCCGCGGCACCGGCCGTCGTCCTCCTTCTGGAGTTGGACAAACCGCAGTTCTCCGAATGGCCCAAAGACCGTTCAATCAATAGAATATAAAAAGAAAGAAAAATAACCCGCGCTGCGGCGGTGACGGGACCCCCTGGGTCTCAGAGCAATCTCGAGGCCCAGAGAGTCCGGCTCAAAGAAAAAGAAAGAGAAGAAGGAAGAAAATTTTTCTCTGCAACAGCGGAGAAGGCAGGTATTTATAGAGCCAGTCCAGAGCTTTGACCAGGTGAACAGGCAGCCAGGGAACACGTATAATGACGTACTCTTCAAGTGGGGTGTTCTTCAGGCGAGGTAGGAGCAGGCGAATCAGCGACCAGTCCTCCTCCGCATCTCGGAGCTCTTGTTGAGAGGAAGGCGCGGCCTGGGGGTTGGGGCTGGCCCAGGCGGGTCTAAGGCGCAGGAGGGCGGGTAGGGTTGTGGGTGATTGATATCCCGGTCCAGGAGGGTTTGATATTGGTCGCGGGGCACATGACAAGAGCCTCAGTGGCATGGCTTAAGGGCACAATGGCCCGAGGAGGAAGGAGCGAGACATGAAAAAAGCAAGGTAAGGGTGCCTGGGCAGGGGCAAGGGCACGAGGGGCCACTCGAGTTTGAATTTTGATATTGTACGCGTGATATTCGACGCGTAGAGACCTACAGTGAGCTTGGGACCTGGGACCCTGTCACATTTCATTAGCCAACAAGCACGCAACGGCCAGTATCACGAGTCTCTATTTACCACAAAAAAAAGTCGATATCCAGCAAAGCTGCACTTGAGAACACTCTTCCAGAATTAGACTAGGACTACAAGCCCTCCAAGAAGTTTGATATCCAGCAAAGCCGCACTCGAGAAGACTCGCCCAGAAAAGGACGAGGACTGCGAACCCCCCATCAATCTCAGCATCCTGCCCATCAGCAACACCAACAGTCTTCTCCATCGGAAGTGCCGATATCCCTTCCATTGATAGAAATATCAACTCCATCTGCAAGATCACCATCACTCCCATCAGCAGTTCCGGCTCCAGCTTCACTGCTGCTACCTTTTGTGCCTTTGCCGACCGACCCTACCTTCTTCCTCTTCTGCTCCTCACCTTCCTCCCAAGCGTCCGGAGAATCAAACAAGATGACGAGCAACGACGACAGCGTCAGGTAAGACGCGGCCCTCCCTTCTGTCAACTAGCTTGATTGATCTAATAATTTGATACTAACCTCCTCCGTCACACATCTCTCCAGCCGCGAGCCCTCGCCCGTCCCCTCGGAGGCCCCCGCTCCCCCCACCCAGTCCCCAGAGGAGGTGAGGGCCGAGGAGGTGCCCGACCAAGAGGGGCAGGCCAGACCCTCTGGTCCCCAAGAGGCAGGGGCTGCCCAAAAAGCCCAAGACAGCGACGACCTGCCAGACTACGAGTCTGAGGAGGAAGAGGCGCCGGCACCCGAGCCCGCGACACCGGCGCCGCCGCCTCCAACTGCCGAGGAGGCCCAGTGGCAGGTCGCGCTGTCCGAGGCCGACGTCTTCCTGGACCTGATGTCGGACATCCTCCTCTTCGGCCCGGCCCCGCCGGCGACCGGAGGGGAGGAGGAGAACAACGACGACGATGACGACGCTTCCGGGGGCAACAGCTCCGGTGCCGAGGAGTCTGCCGCCCACGGCAGCGAGACCGAGGTCGACCCGGAGGCCGACTCCGAGTCGGAGAGGGAGGGCTGAGCCCTCTGCCATCTGTTCCACCGGGGGTGGGTGATGGAGGGCGAGGCGTGAGCCGGATATGGCCTGCTGGCGCCAGGCCAGGTATTACCAGGATCGGGTGGGGGTTGTTTTGTGGTCCCCAGGGATATTGAAAGTTGGAATGTGGGAAGGGAATAGCCTACAAATACAAAGAATACGTTGCTTGACTATTGCTTGATGCTCGTAGCGTGATCCGCTGCGACGATGTCTAACACTCAACACATCTTTTGCCCCCAAACCAGGTTGGTTTGCGATCCTCGCTCGCCGTCTTGTCGTGATGGGCATGACCGCCAGACCTGTGTTAGTCATCTTGGCGCCGAGGCTGCGCAGCCGTCGTTGAATTAAGGATATGTGGCGACGACAGATGTCAGGGGCGGGATCAACGATGGTCCTTCTTCTTGCGGTGAACAGCGCATCCCACTCAGACAAGGCGCAACATCATTCTCGCCCACGTGGGAGCAGCCAATTTCGATTTCTCGACGATCAGGCACGTGGTGGCCATCATTGGCTGCAACATGGTTGCATTCTCGGAAATCCCCAACCACCTCCACAAGCCCCTCACGCAGTGCAGAAGGCTGGGAGCAAGCACCGACAAATACACAGCGCGCGGAGAAACCAGAGCGGGGTGATGGAGGGTACATAAAAGAGCGAGCAAGTATGGTATGTCCAGTTCCCCTCAATAGGAAGCTTGATTTACGCCTGCTTCCGTGCACTCGCCTGCAGCCGCCGCCGTGACTTCCTCTCCCTCCTATCACCCCAACCCCCTCACACACCCAACATGCTCGGCCACCTGACCGCAGCAGCCCTCGCGGCGGCGTCCCTCGCGCTCCCCGCCGCCGCCGCCGTCCCGGGGCAACTGCAGCAGATCCTTGATGGCGCGCGCGAAAACCCGCTGTACCGCTACCCGACATCACTCACGCGCGACATCATCCCCAAGGCCGTGCACAGCCACAACGACTACTGGCGCGACGTGCCCTTCTACACAGCCCTGTCGCGCGGCTGCATATCCGTCGAGGCCGACGTGTGGCTGTACGGCGACGACCGGCTGCTGGTCGGGCACGACCGTTCCTCGCTGTCCGAGAACCGCACCTTCGACTCGCTGTACGTCCAGCCCATCCTGTCGGTCCTGCGCGCCCAGAACCCGGCGCACGGGTTCTTGCCGCCCGGGGACGCGCCGACCCGCAACGGCGTCTACGACGCCGGCCCCGGCCAGACGCTGTACCTCTTCGTCGACGTCAAGACGGACGGCGCCGCCACGTGGCCGGCCGTCGTGCGGGCGCTGGGCCCGCTGCGCGAGGCCGGGTACCTGACCACGGTGCGCAACGGCACCGCCGGCACCGCCGCTGTCCCCGAGTCCGGCCCCGTGACGGTGGTCGGGACGGGCAACACGCCGCGCGCGCTGGTGGAGGGCGCCCCCGCGCCGCGCGACTACTTCTGGGACGCGCCCGCGGCGGATCTGGCGCGGGATGGGTTCAAGGATGTGGGCGCGGCGCTGAGCCCGATCGCGAGCGCCGGGTTCGGCGACGCGCTCGGGGCTGGCGAGGGGTCGGCGGCGCGGAGGTCCGGGGTGCTCAACGACACGCAGCTGGCGCTGCTCAGGGAGCAGGTCGGCGCGGCGCACGCGCGGGGAATCAAGGTCCGGTACTGGGACACGCCCGGGTGGCCCGTCGCGGCGAGGAACAAGGTGTGGCGCACGCTGTGGGAGGCCGGGGTGGACCTGCTCAACGCGGATGATCTTGAGGACGCTGCTGGGTTCTGGGAGGAGTAAGGCTTGTTGGAGGAGCAAAACCCCTTGCGGCACACACTATACCACTAAATGCAGACAGACCGCTACTAAGGACCTTGTTTAAGATCCAAGAAAGTAATAACATCAACGCCTGACACATATACGCCTGAAATTTTACAAATCTTTTGTTTGCTTTTTTAACACAAAGCCCTGTTTGGAGCCTTCTGCTCTTGTAATGTATTTACAGTAGAGTTGGAGGTCGAAAAAGACTCCAGTTTCCCAACAACGCTGCTCATGTCGCGCGAGATGCGCGGGTACATGGCGGGCGCGGGGGCAACCTCGGCCGCGGAGGGAGCCGGGGGAGGTGCGGGGCGCGCGGGCGGGCTCGGGTCGCGGGTGCTGCCCTGGATCGTCTCGCCCATCTTGATCCACAGAGTGCGCATGATGGGGATGCAGGCGGCCATTATGGTGATTGAGATCTCGGCCGCCGTGAGGATGATGAGCTGGGTGCTGTCCACTGGCCATAGGGGGGAGGGATGTTAGCGCAAGGTCGGGGGAGCTTGGGGAAGGATTTCAGAAAGAACTTACGTAGATCGCCAGTGATGAGAGTGGGAAAGGCAGCGGCCTTGGCAAAGGAGGCGGCACCGGCACTGAAAGGAAAAGGGTCAGCAAACAGCGAAAACAACAATGGCGCGAAAATGCGGCGAGACTCACAAGACGCTCATGCTCATGGCGCACAGCACGCTGTACTTGTTCCTGGCCGACATGTTGGCCTTCCACAGCATGGCCCAGGGCATAAAGGCCAGGGCCAGGTCGGCCACACCGCTGTAGGCGATGGCGCCCTGCATGAGGCCGACGACCACCCTGCCGTCCCAGCAGGAGCCCTTCTTGGCGGACCAGGGGGCCCAGTTGAGCTCGACGGGGTCGCACTGGGCCCAGGTGACGACGGCGGCGGCGCCGAGCACGACGTTGACGGAGACGATGATGCCCCACAGCGCCGCCGCGCTCCAGCGGCCGGGGAAGGAGCCGGCCAGGCGCAGGAGCGTGACGCCAAAGGACGTCTTGCTCCAGGCCGCGGCCAGGGTGGTGAGGAAGCCCTGCAGCGTCATGAGGAAGAGGATGGGGCTGAGGTTGTCGGCGGGTATGTCGGCCGAGTGCCGGCCGAAGTCGAACCGGACCATGAGCGAGACGCAGACGCTGCTGAGGAGGAGCATGTGCTGTTGAAAGAGAAAGAGAGAATGTTTGTCAGCATCAACTTGTTCTTTGATGGGTTGCCATGTCTCGCCCCAGAGACAGAAAAAAATACTCACCCATGCCGCGCCCAGGATGTAGTCGTCCCACCAAAAGCCCTTGCCCCTCAGGTGCTTGCTGTACAGGCGCAGGACGAGGAAGACGAGCGCGAGCGCCGTGAGGAACCACACGACGCTGCTCAGCAGGGCGCCCATCGACGGCGGGTTCGGGTTCGTGACCTTCTTGACGACGGCGACTTCTTCTCGCCGCAGGATGCTAGCGGCCATGGCGGCTGCCGACCAGGGTGACGACGGGGCGGCGGCCGGCGTGGCGGATCTGGAGGACACCGGGACGAACATTGTTAGGGAATGTTCCGTCGTGTGTGGGTATATTGTCGATTAAGGATTTCTATTGAGGCTCTGCTAAAAGCCTGACGTACCAAACGGGCTATGGCAGCCATGTCGAGAGCGCGGGCAAGGCGAGCTTAATAAGAAGGCAGCAGCAAACAGACGGACACCCATCGCGGGGAGATGGCCTGCCCGGTGGAGGCCTGGGGGTTCCCCCCCTGGTCTAGCCTCTATATGATCACCATAACCCTAGCTGCTATTCGTCCGCAGGAGCAGGGGGTTGTGGGCATAGCAGAGCCTCTCTACCTATTCGCGGACACGGACGGACAACCCAACAAGGCGGTCGTCGGCCGTCGCCGGAACTGGTGTGGACCGAACTCCTGACAGCTCTTTTTGCTGTGGGGAGCGCGGGCGCCGGGGGAGCACAGGGGATTACAGTTCCATTTTTAGGGCCTGTCAGGCAGTGGGGTCTGGCCTTGAGCTCATGCGCCGCCAGATTTTCGAGTCTTTTTTCTGATTTTGACGTGAGCCTGATTCACGAGCGAGCAGGAATTTTCGAATGCAGCTGTGACGTTGAATGTGATGGACATACGGGAGGCCGCAGGGCAGAGCCGACAAAAGTCAAGAAATCGCCAGCGTCGTTGGGAAGAGAGTCTCGCCAGCAAACAAACTCCAGCCGCATCAATGCAGATTCAGAAAACCACGGCGAGATACCGATTCTAGCATCCAGCACCACGGTAGCAGCCGAAAGATCTCACGACGTCGGAAAAAGGTCCGACGTGACATCGCGCCTCATCTGTGCATCTGTGCGGCGGCCGACCATCGCCTAAGCTTTTTTCTTTTTTCTCGCGACGCTCATCCCGCAAGCCGAGCCTGAGGTTCAACCGACCGGACCGGCAGGGGGGCGCCACAGCAGCTCACCTAGGTCTTGAAACGTCCGGGTCACGACAGGTCCTTCCATGACTAGCACGCGCCAAGACGGGGAGATCTCCTAGAACCACACGAGCTGCCAGTCTAAAAATACCTTTTTTTTCCCCTATGGTCTTTTCCGCTGAGCCCTTCCGTTTCTGGGTAAGCAAGCCGGCAGTGTTTCTTTTTTTTCCTTCCTGCATATGGCGCCCCTTGCGTAGATCACTGTCGGTCGGCCCTTATCAGGAACAGAACAAAAGCATTGAGAGCAACTGCATGATGCAGGAAGAGGTGTCACATCCCCCGCTCCTTGTCGGGCAGGTGCATTCGGGGCGCTACGTAGCACGTGTGATGGGATTTAGAGAACAAGGTGCACCTCCGCCATCGAGCAGGATGCAGGCCACGCGGTCAGCCGCAGTCGACAAGAAGCTGGCGATAGCATCATGCTGAGATGGGAGGTAATGGTTGAGGATGAGATGGATGGCTACGGAGTATGCTGCACGTGCGCACAAAACATAACAAATATTTTAAAGTATGGTATTCGCAATTGTGATAATTAGGAATGTGAGCAAAGCTAAAAGATTGTGATATCTCACAACATTAATATCTTGACAAGAACTCTTTTTCCTACACCACGGACCGATTCCCCGTACCAAAACATGTGAGATGCCTCCTATTGACTATCAAGAACCTATTTTACCACATTTACACGCCCTGAGCCTTGCAGAGCCAGAGGTGGCGAGAAGGCCGGGAGGCGCCCCGTGCTAATCTGATTTGAACCTAAATGCCCATCATCCCATTTCCCAGCAATCAGGGCTGAACAAATGCAGCAATATGGGTAAGGGTTGGCACTACGCATCAACGCCGCCACCACGGGCTAGTCACCAGAACAAGGTTGAGGCGAGAGGCACAGCCACACCTCAAAACTTGGCAATAAGATGTTATTATGGGTTGGTCTTGGCTATATTAGTTTGATCTTGTTAATGTCTAAGAATCCCCCCAGCTTTATTCCAAGATCTAGGGCAATGCTTGTGTAATAGCTATTCAGCCCCTGCATTACAAGCCATCCATCCCCACGAGGCCTACGCTCCCGTCTTCTTCACCCTGCAGACCGCCGTCGCGGCCGCGGTCCTGTCCGACTCGGACACGGCCGTCAGCGTCACCACGGCCTCGTCGTCCGCGTCCGCCGCGGCCGCCACGGCCACGCGCGCCCAGGCCGTGGCCCCGAAGCGCGCGTGGGCGAGCGCGTTGGGCAGTGCGACGCGCCAGCCCGCGCCCGAGACGGTGGCGTTGAGCCGGTAGACGTCCGACTGCAGGAGCGCCGTCGCGTCGCGCGGGTGCAGGGCGCCGCCGCCCGCGACGTAGGTGCCGGCGTTGGCCAGCTCGAAGAAGCAGGTCGTGCCCGCGCCCGTGGGCGACCCGGCGGCGGCGACGATGCCGTCGGCCAGCTTGACGGCGTGCGCGCTGGGCCCGCCCGAGCCGTCGAGCGAGCGCACGGCGGCCGTGTAGGACAGCACGCCGGCGGCGTCGCGGTGGCGGTCGAGGACGTAAAAGTGCAGGCGGTTGGCCTCGTCGACGTGCTCGAACTGGCTGCCGGACCGGGTGCCGGCGTGGAAGAGCGCGTCGGCCAGCTGGCGGTAGTCGCCGATGGTGATCATGGCGGCGGAGCCGTTGGGGCGGATGAAGTCGACCATGGCGATGTCCTGCGGGTTCGCGTCGATGGTCCACTGGAACGGCTGCGACGGGCGGCGCGAGCCGTCCTTGGACTTGCTGAGCATGACGCCCGCGTCGGCCTGGAACGAGTCGGAGCCGATGCGGTCGACGACCTCGACGAAGTAGCTGTGGTAGCCACCGCCGTCGCAAAAGGGGTTCGTGTTGACGTCACAGCGCGGCGAGAGGTCGCCGCGGCTGCCGAGCGCCACGTTGATGCCCATCAGCCCGCCCAGGCCCGGGTCGATAGCGCGCGCCGTGATAGTCGCCAGCGCCAGGCCCGACCCCGCCAGGCCGTCGCGCGACAGCAGAGCGATGCTAGAGTTGGACGCGAGCCCGAGGAAGAGCTTGTCGCGGACCGTGTGCAGCGACCCCATGCTGCTGCCGTGCAGCGCGGGCACCTGCCAGCGCGTGTGCGGCCCGCCAGGCCCCAGGAAGGAGCCGCGCGACATCATGGACCAGGGCCCCGTGTATGAGCGCCTGGCGGGGACCGAGTAGGGGTTGTTGTAGTTGTCGCCAATGTCGAGCAGGTGGCTGAGCTCGTGCGCGTAGACGGCCATGCCGCTGCTCTCGCCCTGCGTCGACGACCCGCCGCCCGCGTTGGGCCACAGCGTCGCCGCCGACGCCCAGCTGGTCCACTCGACGTAGCGCGTGCGCGCGTAGTTAGTCAGGTTGCTCCCCGGGGGCGGGCCGAACTCGGGCGTCACATCCTCGCGCGTCGCGAACTTCATTTCGCCAAACTCCTGCCACGTCGCCGACTCGTCCTGCCCCGCCGAGAGGATGAAGACCAGCTCGAATGAGGATGCCACCTCCTCGCCGACCTCGCGCCGCCATGCGGCCAGGCCGTCCCCGCGGACGTCAAAGTCACAAGCGAGGCCTGCCGGGCACCCGCCCCCGTTGAAGCCGCTGTCGATGCCGTACTGGAAGCTCAGCTTCGGCATCTGGTAGGGCCCAAAGGCCGTCAGGTCGACGCCGAACTTGCCCGCCGAGTCCTCCATCCAGTACTCGTGCAGCGTGTGCCCTTTGTTGATCTCCGTTGGCGTGTTGAGCAGGTCACGGTAAAAGGCCGGGACGCCGGCCCGGGGCACGTCGGCCTTGGCGGGCTGTGGGTTGCCAAAGATGGTCGACAGGGCCGGCTGCGTCACGATGAAGGGCCTGTCGGTGTAGTCGAGCGTGACGAGGGCGATGTTGAAGTTGCGGCTCGACCCGCGGCGCGTCGGGTCTGACCAGTTGGTGCCCGGCGGGCGCTTGTAGTCGGCCCACGTCATGTTGTCCGGGTTCACCCAGTTCTGCGGGTCGACCACGGCGAAGGGGTCACGCGGCGTGCACGGGACTGCGTAGGCGCCGCGGAGCAGCAGCGACGTCACGGCCACGGCGGCGGTAGCCATGCCTGACCGCCGACTGCGGGCCATGGTGCTAGGACTCTGCATCTTGCGTGTTCCCTGTCAGAAGAGCTCTTTTCCGAGCCGCACAAGGGAAGTGCAGGTCCGCCCCAGGGAAATCAGGGTGATTCGAGGGCAAGGCACCGCGAGTGAGGCTCACCTTTCGCGCGCCCGCGCCGGTGAGGGGGCGACAGTCGGCTTAAGTACCGGAATGACTGGGGTGGTAATGGCAGGTCATGTCGGCTGTCGGGGCCTTGCAGCTCAAGCTTGCAGAAGGGGTTACATCCCATTATCAGCCGAACCTGGCCTTGGTGCTATCCCATGCAAACACGGCAGCTCCGACGCAGGGGCTTCCCCGCTCGAGGCCGCAAATCCGCCGCCGCCTCGATGTCACCTACTGTTTCTGGCAGAAATAGATGTGGGACAACATCAGCCCGCAACCGAGCTGCCTATCGTGTGCAAATCCATTTTACCCTTCCTCGGGGGTTGTACGTTGTGGACCCCCTCTAGAAAAGGGGCGGGAAAACTTTGATTTCAATGAAAACCGTGGGCCACTTTTTTTCCTGTCGTGCTTGAGTTTTGGACCAGCGGCGCCTAACTTCTTGCATTAGTGGGGTTCACTGGAAGGATCGAGTTAGGCCAAAGGCAACCCAGCCCAAAAGCAGGAGACACGACAGGACGCCCCTTAGCCAGCAAGTGTGCACGCTCTCTTCTATTCAACCCCTGACAAGGCCTGGTGGCGAAATGGTATCGCGTCAGATTTCGGTCACGGAATCATTACCTCTGAAGATTGCGGGTTCGAGTCCCGTCTGGGTCGTCATGCCGCTAGCAACAATTAGTGCTGTTAGTTCTTTTTAATTTCCCTTTTTGCTTTTTCAATGCACTTTTTTTAATTACCACTTCATTAAATTCGAACCTTGTGCCGTTCGTTCGCATAAGCAAAAAGTAAGCGAGCGCAAATACATATCAGCAACTTACATCATTCCCCGGCAAAAAGCTGATGAATTGACCCAGACCCGATTTGAACGGATAACCTTTTGATCTGGAGTCAAACGCGCTACCGTTGCGCCACTAGGCCATTGTTGGCAATGATTCCACTCTGGTCCCTATATCCGCTGACCACTGTCTCCCTACGTGGACACAATGCCAGCTTCTCCACCACCCTCGGCTCCGCATGCTGGCTCAAGCGGCCTCGTTGGGGAAGACACGGATAAGGTTATCTGTTGGTTGGCGACATGAGGGCTGTGAGCGAGGCATATGCTTACTGTAAGTTCGGTCTGCAGGAGGGTCAAATTTGCCGCCAAGCCGAATGGCGGCTGACGATAAGAGGGGGGCAGCGGTGACCTAGACTAAGCCTTATGGCAACACGGGGCCCCATATTGACAAGGAAAGTGATATCTACACGGCCCATCCAACGGTGCTTCTTCTACATAAGACCGGTGACGCGCTCCAAAAACTCCCGTATTAGGCTTCCACGACTCTTGCTCCATCTCGCGACACGATATGGCGTCCACACCGGCAGCGGAGCCTAATGGCCCCGCCTTCTCGAGACGGGCTTGGGAGGAACGACGCGATGAGATCGTCCGGCTATACCAGGATGAGGATTGCGACTTTAAGGCGCTGGTCGAGATAATGAAGACCAATGGCTTCTCCGCGACGTATGCTGCTTTTTCCTTCTTCGACGGCCTTCTGCTCGTTCCCCACTTCCACCTCTTGCTAGCCACCATCTTATTTGTCCCTGATCTGACCCCTGCTTGGCCGACGTAGATAGCTGACAGTCCCGGTAGTCGGAGGGAGTACATGAAGAAGTTTAAGCAGTGGGACATTCGCAAGAACGTCAAGGCGGACGAGTATGCGGCCATTGTCCGCGTGCAAGCCCGGCGCCAGGCAGAGGGGAAGCGGACGGCATTCAGGGTGCGGAAGCGGCCGGTTTCCCAGGCAAACATATCCCGGTATATCCGGAAGTCCAAGAAGAAAGGGTCGCCTAAACCCTCGGTCGACGGTGAGGCAATCGTCGAGGCTCACACACCACCCTTTATCGAATATGACACGCCTCCAGCAAGTCCCTCGTCGCCCACGCTGAGCGGCGGCCAAGGTTACGCGGACTCTATCACTTTGACAGAATGTGGCAAACCCGGGAGCCAGTCACCGACACCAGATGCCATCACTCAGGGCTCGACGCAACTTTCCGCTGGCATCGAATTTGCTGCCTCATGGAAGAGTGGCCAGTGGGCTCTAGGAGCTGTCGAAGACCTCTCTGACTCTGACCCGCCCTCCCCCGCTATGCTGGTTAGGAGCTCACACCACCAAGACTCCATCATCGGGGGCCACTCACCGCGCGCATTCCTCATCCGGCGCTCGCCCGCACGCGCCGCCCAGGTGATGCCCGGACTGACCCGACACTTTATGCGCCAGGCGCACTCCCCACCCCGGGCCGTCGCCATGCCCGACACGCTGCGGTACGCCGACGGGGTCCTCCGGAGCATCCGGGACTACGTGTACGGGCTCCGGACGGCGGCACTCTGCTCGTGCGACGAGGACGCCGAGGGCAACGCGCTCATGCCCAAGACGGGCGCCGGCGCCATCCACCCACGTCACTGCTGGCTGGCCGAGGCCAACCCAAAGGCCGGGCGCGACTGCTCCGCCAACCTCGTCAACGGCTTCGCCCTGATGGAGGCGGCGCGCTACGCCGAGGGGCGCGCGCTCCTCCAGGCCGCCCTGGCCCAGTACGACGAGTGCGTCCGCCACTGCCCCTACCAGGCAAAGTTCCTCTCCACCTTCCTGTCCATCCACGCCCGGCACGCGCCGCTGCACCGCGCCCAGGCCGTCGTCTTCGACTACGTGCGGAGGGTCCTGCGCCGCCGGCTCGGCGCCCTGTGGCCCGACCACCCGCTCGTGCGCATCGTCGACATCCTCTTCCTCGCCACCAAGAGCCACGCCGCGTCAGTCGTGCGCGACCCGGCCATAATGCTGTTCGTGGACAGCGTCTACGGACGGAACAGCGAGAAGGAAACGGTCCCCGGCATCGATGACAAGACGGTGCTCATGAGCCCAGTGCGGAGGTGGGAGTGGACCTTCTTCTCCCTCCGTGCCAACTTCGAGCGTGTCGCGGGCGCCGCCGCCGTGGAGACGGATGAGACCTCGCCTCCCCTCCGCTCGCTGCGGCGCCGCCTGACCGAGCTCCACTCGGGCATAGAGGCCGAGCAGAACCCCCTCTTCGACTGCCTCCTCAAGCTGCTAGTCTTTGTCGCCCACAAGGGGCCCGTCGACATGCACCTGGAGCCGCTGTACGCCCACCTGATCCAGTATCCGGGCTCGATGGACAAGATCCTCTCCTGCGCCAAGGATCTGGTGGCGGGCCTGTGGGGGGACTGGGCGGACAAGAGGACGAGGTGCTTGTATCTCCGCACCCTGGTGATTGCGCTGTGGCGCTTCGAGCAGGCGTACACCGGGCTGGCCAACGGCGAGGCGGCGGCCGTCCTGAGGCTGTGGCGGCTGCCAATCGAGGCATGGCTTGCAGATCATGAAAACAACGTGGAAGCGGATGGAAGGCAGCTGCCTGCAGAACTACGGCCTTTGATGGACCAGCCAAAAGGGAACTGGACCTGAAACAGAGGAAGGAGGATCACCAAAAGAACATAAAGCACCATCCCCATTCGCGACTTGTTTCACGCGACTGTGACAGCCGGTGCCGCGTCATCTTTAGTGCTCACGACACATGGCTAGGCGGTAGACGAATTGGGTTTAGCGGTCGACATCTTGTTCAGCTTATGAGCTTCCCGCAACACGCGCTGATGAGCTTATGGGCTGGTGAGCTTACGAGCTTATGCACAATCAATCCATCTCGCAAGAAGCATCCAGCGCGCCGCGTGTTGCCTTTGTCGGCCCCTCTCGGAGAGGAAAAGCTACAGACCCTCATCCAGCTCTTTCTAGATGAGGATAGCCAAAACTAAAAACGATTATCGAGACAGCAAAGCACCCTAGACTTCGGCTCAGCGACGTGGGTGTGTTGCGTCATCATCACTCCAGAACCCACCGACCCACTTCTGCAATCTGGCTTGCTTTCTTCCCCACTATAATTGCCAATTCCAATTCCAAGACGCCCGTGCCTTGATTCTTGAGAAATGACAGCCCTGCCGACAGGCCACCAGCTATTGACGGCCAGCCGCTCCCCCCACGGGAGCTAGCAACTGACTTGATCAGCGCGCCCATGTGATGGCCCAGCTTTGATGCCGAGACCCCAGCGGCAGATGGGGAGGATCTCGAGGGTCACACACGATCTGGCAAAGCCCGCGAGCGACAGCGGCACACCAGCATTGGGCACTTCCTACCCTGACTGCAACGCTCCCCCCACCGCGGGGACCACTGTCAGGACCCATGCAGTAAGGGTTAGCGAGCTGCCAGTGCCGCAGCCCTGCTGCTGTCGATATTGATCCTCGCCCAGGCGCGCACACGGCCCCCTCTGTGCGCTTCGGCAAACAGGCGGTCTGCCCGTCGTGATGGGCTGTAATGCTACAATGCTACGGCCAAGACAACAAAACCAAACGACGCTGATCGCAACCTGCGGCGCCCCGCCAGCAACAGGCGAGTACGGCAGAGCGAGGATCTTGATGTGTGTGCCTTGGCCCCCCGCTCCCTGGCGACTCGGGCGTTGGCATTGTGGCCCAACGCTGACACGGGCCGATCAATGCCCTGTGGCCCTAGTTCGCTATGAACTAAATTGTTCACGTGGGCCACCACCCGTGGGTGTTGTTGTCCCCACCCACCGCCACGCCGGAGCGAGCAAGGGGCGCCTCGTGAGCACGGGCTGAGGTTGGTGAACCAGCACGTCACCCGCGTCATTCGAGACGGCGCAGCTGCTTGCTGCGTGTCTTAAAAGGCAGATAAGCCTGCCCCCTCTCTAGTGTCTGAGTCTGTGTGTCCTGTGTGCGTGTGTGTGGTCGAGTAGCGCTGCTGTCGTGCCGCGAGAGTCGTAGCAAATACTAGTTTCCTACCCGTCGTACACCCCCCTAGCGCCCCTCATGCGAGCCATCGTCTTAAAAGTTTAACTACTTTTTTAAGGTTTCCTGCGTGCCCGTTTGTCGACCTCGCGCGCCGCGCTCGCAGGGCCCAGCACCAGCCGTCCAATCTTTCGAACCCGACGACAGCGCCTTGACATGGCGGCTCGAGACGCGACACAGCCATCGTTCACGTCACGTCTGCCGTTCTTTGGCGGGCGCAGGGCAAACAATAATGCCTCGGCCGGGGACTCCAATGAGTCCGAGTCGGACGAGCCGGCGTCCAACGCGCCGCCCAAGTGGAGCTTTGGCGTGTTGAACGACAAGAAGACCATCGAGGTTCCGGGTGAGAGAGAGAGACCACCACTCCCCAAGGCGCCCTCAAAAGGGATTTGAGCCAACCCGTCCTAACCGCGCTCGAACACCGACCTCAGGCTCCGTCCTGTTGCTCGCGGACCACAAGAACGAGCCGCTGGGCCTGCGCAACGCGCCGGCCCGGACCTCCCACTCGTCCTTCCCCACCGGCAACTTCCCCGAGGCCCTCCCGCCGCCGCCGCCCGACGGCAAGAAGAAGACGACAGACGGCAAGATCATCCTAGAGCCGCAGCCCGAAGACGGGCCCAACGACCCGCTCAACTGGCCAAAATGGCGCCGCGACGCCGCCCTTATGTCCATCGGCCTCTACTGCATGGTCGGCGGCGGCCAGACCTCGGTCCTGGCCGCCGGATTCACCGACATCGCCCGCGACTACCAGGTCCCGGTGCACTCGGTGTCCCTGACTGTGGGCCTCTACATGATGGGCATGGGCCTCGGGTCCGTCTTCGCGTCGCCCACGGCCATCTTGTACGGCAAGAGGCCCGTGTACCTCGCGAGCGCCGTCCTGTTTATAGTCACCTCGGTCTGGTGCGCGCTGTCCCCCAGCTTCCCTTCCCTTATTGCTGCACGGATTCTGCAGGGCGTCGCCGTCAGCCCGGTCGAGTGCTTGCCGTCTGCGACGGTTGCCGAAATCTTCTTCCTACACGAAAGGGCGTATCGGCTTGGCATCTACACCCTTCTGCTCCTCGGCGGCAAAAACCTGATCCCCCTGGTCAGCGCCGCCATCATCCAGACGCTCTCATGGCGCTGGGTGTTTTGGTGATTACCTTCCTCGCTCCATTATTCCATGTGCCGATATCCAGGAGGGACTAACAACGACCCACAGGATCGTCGCCTTCGTCGTCGCCTTTTGCGGCGTCCTGCTCTTCCTGTTCGTCCCAGAGACATTTTGGGAGCGAGTGCCACACGCCAAGCCCAAGACCCCCTCCAGGCCGGGCCTCTTCCAGCGGGTGTCGTCGCGGTACATCCACCACCACCACAAGCCGGAGCAGCCAGACGCACAGCCCGCGAGGCCCGCCACCGCGCATGCGGCCCCCACTCACGCGGCGTCCGAGGCCCTAACCCATGAAAGACGCCACGACCAGCACGTCATGTTCGCGCAGTCCGCCGAGGCGGGCGACAACGACACCGGTGCCAAGAGCTCGCCCGAGGCGAAAGCCGACGAGCAGCAGCTCAAGTACACCAACAAGTCCGACGCGCCCGAGGCCACCAGCTCGGACGACGAGAAGCCGCAGAAGCCGCCGGCCATCCCGCCCCTCGATACGGTAAATCTGGAGCGGGGCGAGATCCACCCCATCGTCGCCCCGGCCTCGGCCCACCCGAGGCTCGAGAGCGACACCACCAAGACCAAAGCCTCGCCCTCGCCGGGGGCGGCGGCCGCCACCCTGTTCTCCCCGACCGACCCGGAAAAGCGCCGGCAGCACGACAAGGCGGCGGCCAACATCTACTCGAGCCACTGGCGCGAGCGCGAGGCCAAGTCGTTCGTGCAGCAGCTGCGGCCGTGGCACGGGCGGCTCAACGGCGACCGGTGGCTCAAGGTGGCCTTCCGGCCGTTCGTGCTCTTCAGCTACCCGGCCGTGCTCTGGTCGTCGGCCATGTACGCGTGCTCGGTCGGGTGGCTGATCGTCGTGTCCGAGTCGGTGGCCGTCATCTACCGCGAAAAGTACTACGACTTTGACGCCCTCGGCGTCGGGCTCGTCTACCTCTCGCCCTTTATAGGGGGCGTCCTCGGCACCGCCGTGGCCGGCAAGGTCTCGGACATCTTCGTCAAGGCCATGGCGCGCCGCAACGGCGGCCTGTACGAGCCCGAGTTCCGCCTCGTCATGGCGCTGCCCATCGGCGTCACCACCGTCATGGGCCTCATGGGCTTCGGCTGGAGCGCCGAGGAGCGCAACAGCTGGATCGTGCCCACCGTCTTCTTTGGCATAATCAGCTTCGGCTGCTGCCTGGGCAGCACCACCTCCATCACCTTTTGCGTCGACAGCTACCGCCAGTACGCCGGCGAGGCGTTGGTGACGCTGAATTTCACAAAGAACATCCTGCATGGCCTCGTCTTCAGCCTCTTCGTGACCGAGTGGCTCGAGCACGACGGCGCAAAGGCCGTCTTCATCTGGCTCGGCGTCGTCCAGCTCGTCGTCGTGGCCTTTGCCGCCCCGCTCTTCGTCTACGGCAAGAGGTGCCGCATGTGGACGGTGCGGAACAACTTTATGGAGAAATTTTGAGCGCGGACCGGCCGCCCGCGTTCGGCCGAGAATGTGTGTGGGAACTTTGGCTTATATTGTAACGAGATAAAAACATGCTGCTACTGCTGTATTAGGAGCTTGGTCCTCCTGTTTGCGAGACCTTCTAACAGGGTGAACAACCATCGTTCTCTTGTCGCGACTAGTAACTGCGTACTTGTGTAAAGGGGGAACCGTTCTATTTGAGCTCTGGGCGAGATGGAGCGTGGAAACGAGTGTTTGTACTGATCCACAGCACCAAAGGCCTGCTCCTCCACTCCTACATTGGCCTTCCACAAGTACACGCGCCCACTCGCCGGATTCAACAGACACGTACTAGGAGTCTCCAGTCCCTGGCATCGTATCACCATCTCGCCATCCTCATCTTCGCTCTCGCCGCTCCGGAGGTTAGCCGCCACCATGACCTGCCTTGACCGAGGTGGTGTGTCTCCCATGGGGCAGCCACGCTCCGCAACGGCTCACGCGTTTCAAAGGCCGGCTCAGCTGAAGGGCAAATCCACAGTGGTTCAAGTCGGACAGTCGACATTCCCTCAGTGCCCAGCAAGTTTGCACCACGGCACCCGCAGCGGCCTGCGCTTGCTGGTACAGTCCGATGTTTCTACCGAGTACAGCTGGCCCTTTGTCCAGTGAGGGTTGATCCAGGTCGGACAGCGGCATTCCAATTCGGGTAAGGGCTCGCCAACAGCTTCGAATAAGACCCTACTGAACATGATAATTCAGCACCTTAACTTGTTGTCCGAGTCTCTTGACCGCGTTTACCTTCCCTGGTCCGAGGACCCCGGGCACAGCCACGTCTGCTTGATCTCGAGTACGTTCTCTTGACAATGTTGAGACGGAACCAGGCCTAGCCAGGACCCTTGCCGGGCTCGCCATCGCCGTTCTGGTCGCAGAGGTACCTACCACTCGCCGACAACGGCCGGAGGGGAACAACCCGTCGCAGCCCGAACACAAGTCGCCGTTGTTTGGTGTCGATGGCGGCTTTACATGCGGTGCTGTGCGGCCCCGGCCGCCTCCTTGCGGACGACGAAGTCTATGTAGGCGCGTGCGCCTCAATCCGGCGTCGTCCTCGATACGCGGGGGCCCCTGAACGTGCACAGCGTCCGGTAGCGGCAAGTCGGTCAGGTCCCACATCGCCCGCGTGAAGGTCCGTCCAGTCCTGACAGGAGCACAGCGGCGCCCGGTCGCGAACATTCGCTAGCCTGCCTTACAGGTCCAGTTTGGGGAGGCGGTCACGTCCCTGGCGGTATCGATGATGGTGCTGTCCTGGCCATCGGAGCCTTCGCGCTCGAGGTTTGCGCGGCGTGGACGGGCGCGCGGGGGCGGACGGCACCGGCCCAGGCGACGATTGGTCGGCACATTCACGTGCTGGGCAGCATCGGCGGCGCGCTGGTTGGACAACACAGCCGGAGGGGCCCGAGGCTTGTGCGGGGGGGCGGGCGACGGGCGCGGGGCGGGCGGCATCGTTGAGGCACCGCGAGGTCCAAGGGCTTGTGCGATGCTGGCGCGGGTCAGGTGAGTCCGATTCTGGTTTGGGCGAAGCGTGAAGAGAACACGCAGTTCACCGTTTGACCTCGCACGGGGGGTCTGGAGCCACCTCAACAAGTAAAGGCCCACCGAGGCCTAGGAAGCCTACAGGAATGGCAGAGGTAGCTCTGCGCGACCAGGTTACGTCTGCAAACCCACCAGAAGGAGGCAGCATGATGGCATCCGTTGCTTACATGCATTGATGCTGGACAGCCAGCATCCAGGCCACATCTGCCGAGATCTCGCACGGCAGTGGGCGTCGAGAAGAGAGAATTGCGGCACCGATGGTGAAAATAGGGGAGCCCAAAGCAGCAGACAACTGGTTAAGGCTTCCAGATGGCTCAGTAGGGCGCTGGCCAACTACAGTAGCTCTAGATGGCGGCATTCCACGTATCATTATCCCTCCACGGGTGTCTCCGTATGGGCACATGACGGACGGAGATGTGCAGGGGCCCAGTGTTAAGAGAGGAAGAGCGCTGATAGCCTGGGATCCGGGTTTCAGATGGCTTTTGGGACACGGAGCGTAGTTGGCAGATATCACCCAGCAGGGTTGGAATCAGGCGGACATTTCTTTTCTTGCTGCGCAGCTAGCAGAGAAATCATGGTCTCGGCATCACAAGACAAGACACGGCAACAATCCTGCCCCGAAAGAACTTCATGGAATACTCGGAGCAGTTCCCTGAAATACCATGAGCGAGATGCCAGCAGCATACTCTATTGGATGCTAATGCTTGGGTATAATACACTGCGGGACCATGAACGACAAAGAGACAAGCCCTCTGGGGGGGGAAACAAGGAACTAGCGAACAACAGAAAGAGAGACAAGCAATGGAAACAGAAAAAAAGGGGGAGTAGGGGCTACAAACGTGCCGTTTGTGCGCTGCGTGTTCCTCGCTCAACATCACCCCGCTCCTGCTCCGTGGTTATTGCCAGAGCAGATGAAGAAACAGAGAAGAAAGAACAAGCGGGAAGAATCAAGCCAGGCATGTATCCCTCTGAATCTCGTGCCGTTGTCTAATAGATAAGTAACAGTTGAAAAAAGGCGGTCCTTGGAAACAACTCGTATGCGCCGTCATGAAATGATGTCGTGGCCTCCGTCTAATAAAAAGAGCTGTTTATGCTCGGCATCAAAACGCTGTCTCCGCTTCGCTTTCGTGTGTGGTACTTGCGAAAGCCCCAGCATAACACCCCTGACAGAACGAGCTGGGGGACGCTTTCCCGGGACAGGGGACACGTATAAACGTGATTGTGGTGCATAGCGGATGTTAAAAGCAGTAGAGGAGGAGCAGCAGCAACAATCCCGGGTAGCTGCTTCGTTCGGGGGATGGCATTCATAGCCAGCTCAAAAGCGAGTGATGGGATGGATCGATGGCGTTCCACACAGTGTGTGGCATAATATCGGCGGAGAGATGGTGAAAAAAAAGACGACAACGGTGTCTACCGCTCCTCCTCCTCGTCCAGCGGCTCGACCCGCACCAGAATCTCCTCGAGCAGGCCCTCGAGGAACGGGCCGACCTCCTTGCCCATACCAACGGGTTCGGCCTTGTCCCAGTGGTCGATCTCCTTGCACACGTGCGCGAGCTTGTAGACGAGCTTGCGGATCTTCTCGTGCGCCGCCTCGGCCCGCTGCTGCCGCGGCGTCGGCACGGGAGGCAGCGAAGAGCCGCCGCCGTCCAGCGCCAGCGAGGTCGACGACGACGACGGCGACGACGACTGCATTTGCTGTATCTGTTGCTGGAGGCGGATCTGCCGTCGCTTGAGCGCCTCCTCCAGGGCGGGGAAGATGACGTCGTTGAGCGCGTCCAGGTCGCCGTTGGGCGGCGACGGCGCCGGTGATGGGAACGACGACGCCCCGAGGTGGCTGCTGCTGATGCTGCTGCTGCTGGCGCTGCCGTGCGGCGGCGGCTCTGGCGTGTTTGACGACCTGCCGTGCAGCGGCGGCATGGGCAGCGGCAGCGGCTGCTGTGTCGGCGGCGACAGCGGCGGTGCCTGGCTGTACCGGTGGTGCGACTGCCGCGTCGGCGACGGCGGGAGCTGCTGCTGGCTCGACGTCTTCTGCAGCACGTGTGGGGGCAGCGACGGTGCGGCGTGGTGCTGCTGCAGTCCCCCGCGGAACGGCGGTATCTCGGGCAACTTCATGGGGCCCGACTTGGATGACTGTTGTGACCGCTGCTGCTGTTGTGGTGGTTGTTGTTGTTGGTACCGTGGCGCCTGCGGGCCGAGGCCATACGAGCTGCCCATGCCCACTTTGGACACTATCCCCTGCCGTCCTTCACCAGTCTGGATGACATTTCCAAGGTTCATGCCGCCCATGTCTCGCTGCAGTTGCAGCTGCAGCTCTCGGTCGTAGTCTGGCGAGTGCCCGCCGTTGGGTAGTAGCGGGGTGGGATTCAGCACGCCGTTGAAGTTTAGCGCCCTCGGCGTCTCCGGTTCGCGGGGCACCGGCTTGGGCGGGGATGACGTTATGACGACCCGCGTTGGGGAGGCGGGCCCTTGGAGGATCGGCTTTCTCTGCGGGCTGACCTGCCTAGAGGTGCCCGTCGACGCGGCAGCCTTGACCGTGTCCCGGTCCCTCGACTCGTCCTGGTTGAAGCTGTCCTTGGTCGGGCTGGCGCTGCTGCCACCGTAACCCCTCGGCGGAGCCGCGCGTGCATTAGTGGCGGAGTCGTCCATAGGGTTCAGCAGGCCCGGGCGGTGGATGAGATTGCCCCTATCGCCGACCAAGCGCACGGTTCCAAAGTCCCACATGTCCTCGTCGACCCCCTGCCTCTCGGCGGCGCGGCGCTGGGCGCTCTGCTGGCGCTGTGCCTCGTCGTCGTCGTTATCGTCGTCATCGCGACCGCCGTTCTTATGCGTCGCGCACCAGCGGCTGTGGCGCTCGATCAGCTCCGTCAGGTAGCTGGTCTTCTTCGCGTGGCGGACGAAGGGGTGGCGCAGCAGCTCGCGGGCGGCCGGGCGGTCGCGGGGGTCGCGCTGCAGACACGACTCGATAAAGTCCTTGAAGGCCTTTGTGAAGTTGCCCTCGAGGCGCGGGGGCGGGTTCTTGGGGATCAGGAAGAGCACCTTCATTGGGTGGATGTCGGCGTAGGGCGGCTCGCCGTTGGCCAGCTCGAGTGCCGTGATGCCCAGGGACCAGATGTCCGCCTTGTGGTCGTAGCCGGACTGCTTAATCACTTCCGGCGCCATCCAGAAGGGGGTGCCCACAAATGTGTTCTTCTTGGTCATGGTGGCGCTCAGCTGGCCCGACACGCCAAAGTCGGCGAGCTTGACCTGCCCGTTTGCACTCAGCAGGATATTGGCAGCTGGGGAGGGGGCTGTCGTCAGCTAGTTGTCCACTATGCGCCCTGGCCCGGGACACCACATAACACACCTTTCACGTCCCGATGCAGTTTCTTGTCCGCATGCAGGTAGTCCAGGCCCAGCAGGAGCTCGCGCACAATGATGGCGATGTACTCCTCCCCGATCAGGCCGGGCTTCATCAGGTCGGCACAGCTGCCGCCCGAGCAGAACTCCATGACGATCCACAGCTCGGCTCCTTTTGCGTAAGACCCGTAGTACTTTGTGACGTAAGGCGACTGGAGCTCCGACAGGATCGCTATCTCCTGTATGATGTCCTCGACCTCATCTTCGGCACTCTCAATGTCGATGATCTTGATTGCGACCGCATGGCCTGTCCGCTTGTCGACTCTGCATGCGTCCGGCCCTCGGTCAGTCTCGAAACCTTGCCCACACCGCCAAAGGGACGGCAAGCAGCGACCAAGACCACGTACCCTTTGTAGACCTTTCCAAAGCTCCCTCCGCCTGTAGTAAGGTAGGGCCCAGCCAGCTGGTTAGCAAGCAAGGAAGCAAGGAAGCCACGCAGGCTCGGCACGCAGGCTCGGAACGCCGCCGTCTTGACCCAACCCGGCCCGGTGGCCCACAAGGAGTGTCGGGGTCAAGCCACGCACCAATGCAGTATTCCTTTGTGTAGAGCAGCTCTGGGTCCATCGGGCCGTCGCCCTCGTCGTAGTCCCGTTCCCTGTCCGCCATGTTGGGAAACACGTGCGTGTGTGTGCGTCCCAGGCCGGAGTGCGGTAGGATCGAATTGAGCTTCTGGTTGCTCTAGTTCTCGGTCCCGGAGGAGGCCCTCTCTGGGCGGAGGTGCCTGGCCGGGGGGTGCGGTGTAGAATCCGACCCGAAGCGGATTCGGGAAGAACAAGGCCGGAACGGAAGGCGCCGGTTCGTGCGTGGGACCGGGCAGGGCGAACGGGTAGGCGGCGGGGCAGGCCGACAGAAACGGCTCTTGGGTTGGAAAGTCGATGGTCGTCGCGTGGCCGTTCGTGGTTGTGGCAGCGGCAGAGGCAGCGGCAGGGCTAGCGTCGCGTCGAGGGAGGGGGCCTTGCAGGGCGGGCTGGCAAGAAAGGAGTGCGGGGAGCGGGTATCAATTTGGATCAGTGATGGGAGGATCAATCTTGATGGCTTGCGTGCCAATGCTGGCCCAGACGCGATTCTTGGAGCTGCGTGCAGCCGAGCAACCGGGTCCGACTGGCCGTTCGACACTAGGTCGGCCAAGGGCAAAAACGAATGGGAAAAGACCAGGAAATAATAATGTGAACCCGGCCACTCTCGACAGACTCGACGGGACCAGGGTTGCCCACCAAACGGGAATGTTTGACCGATTGCGGCAATCAGAGTCGCGAGTTGTGAGTTGACCCAATTGTTTTCTTCCCTTGCTCTCCGCAGGCCCGTGTCCCTTTTTTTTTCCTGGCAGAAAGAGCACGGACTTTGACAAACTGTCGTTCACGCACCGCACTTTCTCCTGCTGGCCGCCGACAACAGCTGGACGAGGCCCAAAGCTAGCCCTATCTAGGGAGGCAAAAGAGGATCCTACCTTCGATAAACGGCAGCAAGCCCGGCGCGCGATCCACACATGAACAATAGGAGAGACGCCACATGGGCAGAGGTGGGAGGGGCAGAGAGATGAGGGAAAGCTGCAGACGCCAGCCAGCAAGCAGCCTGCCGAAAAGCCCCAAATATTGACAACAATTGGCAAGTCAGGAGTCTTTTTTTGTTTACTTCCTAACAGCCGTCCTCCCGCGCGCCCCACAGGCCAGGGGTTCGAGCCATGCGCAGCAGTCATGGTGGGGATGGATGATGGATGGTGGGTGGTGGACGACGGGGGAAGGGTCAGCCCGGGCTGCTGCTGCATAACACACGCCACCACACCTGTCCCTGGCCTGGCCCAGCCTGGACCCCGAACCCCCCGGGCCATGGGAGATTGTGTGGGAGAGCGGGAGTGTGATCTACATGTCTCTGCTATCTATTGTGCACTGCAACGACGGCGACCTGCAACGGGCACCAGAGATGGATATTGTTTGTAAAAGCTAGCAAGCCAGACTACTACGAATCAAGCATCAAGGGCCGGGGACTTGCCAGGCAGGGTCCAGGCCGCATGCATCGCCCACCGCTTGTCCAATCCCATCGCCTTGTCTTAGCGTGCATACAGGGAGACCGAGATCTTACTAGAGGCCCACGTCTGTTTCCCGGCTGGAATCTGACAGTGCCCAAGCGGTCACAGCTCTTGACAGGTGAAAGTTATGCGCCAATGCCGGATGCGGAAAAAAGTCACCAATATCGAAAGGTGTCATCTGTCGCCTTGCGACCCATGTCTGGGGAAGACATGCAATGGTGCCGAAGATCGGAAATCCGGTGTCTCTAGAGATTGGGTTTGCCTGTCAATGCCACCACTCGGCACTCGACACGACTCAGGGACCCGGCGCCCGCCAACCCACGGTGTGGCCATCACATTCCAGGGCTGGCGGGAACGACAAAGGGCCAGGTTTGCCCAGCTGTCAAACGAACGGCGGCATCACGCACGGCGCCCAACGGGACTGCAGTAGATATGAATTCATCAATGGTTAACCGCCTACCTTCCATGTCTATAGCGTGAGGGTCAACCCCTGGGAAACGCAGAGGAAGAAGAAGAATAGATATTACCAGAGAGCAGTAGGAGAGCGTGATTCGTAGAAGCAAACAAAGGAACCGGAAACACAAAAGAAATAGCCTGCGTTCTCACTCTCATTTCCCTCCCTCGGCCAAGATGCTCGGTGAGGATGTTGATGGAAAGTGAATGCTTGGGCGAGAACCCGACGGATGAAAACCGACCATAACACCAGGGAAACAGATTCCCTAAACAGGAAACGAGCCAGGCAATCAAAGAAGAAATGATGGCTCTGTGACAACAGTTGTTGCCCAGGTTTCCCGGCACTAAAACACAGCACCTGCAAGATATGTTGAAAGAAAGCATCGTCGGATTATGGTGCCAGATTGAACCGATCGGATATCGACCACGGCTGTTCCTTTAGGCGCAAAATCGACACCTAGCTCTCCAAAAACTCGACGGCCAGCGTGGACTGCTTGATGCCCGCCTCCTCGATCGTCTTGTCCAGGTCCGTGATCAAGTCCACGCCCTGCGGCATCCTCTTGAGCTCAAACTCGACCCCGGCCTTGGACTCATCCAGTGGCGCCGCCTTCAGCCACTCGTACACGCGCGAAACTGAATCCGACGTCGCGAACCGCCGCACCACCCTGCCGCCGGGGTGCATGAACTGTATGCGCGTGATGCCGGCTCCGCCAGGCGCCGGCTCCTCGTGGGGCCTGTCGGATGGTATCCTCGCAAAGGGCGACTGCTCCTGCGGGGGAGGCGGCAGTGTCTCAATTGCGGCATCGGGGTCGTCGGCTGCCTTGTGCTTGCCCTTGTCCACCCTCGTGAGTTCGTCTGGGTCATGGATGCTAGGCCTGGTCGACGACTCGGATGACTCGCCATTGGCGCCCTCGAGGCTGTTCTGCATGGCCAGCTGTAGCATCTCGTCCTCGGTCATGCGGTCCACATCCACCTTCTTCTTTGGCGGGCGCGTCTGCGCCACCGGGTTCTTACCCTGGAACTTGTAGCGCTCCAGGAAATCTTCAAGCTTCTCGACGAAGTCGGCGGCCTGGGTCGGGCAGTCCACACCTGCCCAGACCTTCATCTGCTCGCCCGTGCGCGGATCCACCACGGAAATGTGGGGGTAGTTCTCTGGTATCTTGTGCTGCTCATTGGGCAGATACAGCTGGATGTACTGCCTCGCGTTGGTGTGGTCCTTGTCGTACTGCAAGAACAGGAACCGCTCGCGCACAAGCTGTTGCACGCGCTCGTCCTTCCATATGTCCCGGTTCAGCAGCTGGCACTGGAACACAGACATGTCCTGCAGGTTCACCAAAATCCACTTCTTCTGGTCCTTGCCTTCTTCCCTCGTGTCGTCCCAGTCGAGGTGTGTGAGGATCTCGCGTGGCGGCCTGAAGAGCTCCACGAGTCGCCGCGAGTTGCTGTCTTGGCTCGAGTTCCCGGCCGCTGGGGGACCATCATCCCAAACCGACTGGGAAAATACGCCTGCGCCCCTGTCGGCTCTGTATTCTGTAGGGTGAAGTAGATCCTCAGTGGTTAGAACATGTCCAATTTCGGTGCCAGGGAGGTAGAGTGGCTTCTTACCATTCCGAGCCTGTCGCTCCCTCCTCATTTCTTGCAAAAAGCGTTCGGCCTCGTCCTCGTCCTCGTCCGGATTGAGCCTTGCGCCAGCGGGAAAGATACCCGAGTAGTCGGCACCGCCCACCAGCGTCTCTGTGGTGCGAGCAATCGGGGCGCGCACATCGTCATCGGTAGCGCCTCCCGGCCCGCCACCACCGCCGCCGCCGCCACCGGCCCCGCCGGCCCCGTACAGCTCTTCCTGGAGCCGCCGGGCGTAGGCGGCGTCCTCGTCTTCCTGAGCGAACCGCGCCGCGGCCACGGCGGCGGCAGCCTCTCCCATCTCGTCCGCCGCTCCAGCCATGTCGACGTCGGCGTCGTCATTGTCAGATTCGCTATCAATGTGAATGACCCCGCTCGCGTCCACGCGGCCACTAGAGCGCGAGAGCCGTGGCGGATTGCTAGAGGAGGGCTGCGGTCGGGCTGCCGAGGATGAGGATGCGGCGGGCGCGTCGGAGAGGGAGTTGATGATGTCCGGGTTGTCGAACCAGAGGGTGCACGCCGTCTCGACATCGTTGTGGGTGATCTGGAGCAGCTTCCGGGCTACATCAGCCGAGACCGCGGTAAGGTCCATCAGAAGCTGGATGCTCTCGTCATTGGACGAGGCGCCGCCCGCGGTGTCGGCCATGGCGAGGCGTCGTGGCGTGTCGCCGTGGCAGAAGAGCTAAGGCGGGAATGCAAGTCGTGGGAAGGAGATGGCGGGGCAGAGCGCCCAGGCGGGGATGGGGAACCGTTTGTGCTGCAGTGCCGTGGCTGGAGCTCTGCTCCGGCGAAAGATGGAAGGGCTGCGGGGGGTCTTCTCAAAGAATGAGGAGGTGGGAGCGGTCGTGGAGTGTTCTTGAAGCTTCCTGGACTTGGTTCGAGTCGAGGTTTGAAGATGCGCCATGCTACCGCTTCAGTGGCTCTCATGGTGAAAATCGCAGGCCCGTGCTCGGAGCTCCAGGCTGCCCGCCCTGTGACGCAACTGATGGCCATCCACAATTGTGGTTGTTTGGTTGGTAGCTGTGGGGCCGCGTGGCGGGTTTTAGGCGAATCAATTCGATGATGTAAATGCACGTGATGAGACCGGGCCAGCTGAGACCCGCCGCGGCAAGAATCAGACGTCAGTGGCAGACTCGACACACCCTGTATTAAATTCAGACACCATCTGTGTTGCCCTGTACTTTGTCTCTACACGCTGCGCAGTATCTCAATGCCAACCACAAGTTGCATGGGCCAAATTCAGCATTATTTAGGCACTGTGGCCCCATTACCTAAAAGTTGAATGAAGTAAAAACATCCCGTAAAAGACATCTAGCAGGGCGAAGTAACCGACTTGGACGGTGGCTAAAGTCAAGCATGCGGCAACAGCCCGCAATGGTGAAGTTGTATCTTGTCACATACTGCCAGGCTTGGTGGAAAAGATATGGCCAGGAGTATCGGAGAGAGCCAGCCTACGAGCTGAGGTGCGGTGAACCCACCTTCACGCGCGAGGACATTCACACAGCCATGGAACGACAAGAACGGAAAGTGTGAAGCACCCAGATACTTGTGGTAAAGGATGACCGATTCAGGGTACTGGGTATGAAGGCCAAAGAAGAAGACCACAAACCCATCGCGAAACTCCCGGCGTCCAACACACCCCGTGTCCACGATCGAGAATATTACTTGCAGCACAACCACACGCCCTACTCCAGCCCCGCGATGGCCTCGCCCAGTACCTCCCGAACATCAGCCGACCGCTCCCGGGCAGCCGCGGCCCGCAGCAGCGCCGCCGTCTCGGCCGCGACGGGCGCGACTGTGCTCGTCTCGCCGGCCACGGCGCCGAACACGCCAGCCTTCACGGCCCGCGCCCACTCGCGCGCCGCCTCCGCCCGCGCCGTCCTCTGCGTCTCGGTGCCCGTGCCCCCGGCGTCCAGGTCTAGGTCCAGCGAACCCGCGAACCAGCGCGCGAGCTCCCCGGCGTGCGGGCCGGCGGCTGCCGCCACGTCCTCGGTGGGCAGGCGCGCGGTTTCGGCGTCGGCTGCATCGGCGGCGTCGGCCAGCAGCGACCGCGCCAGGCCGTACCAGGTTGAGCGGCGGGCGGCGGCGAGCTGCGGGGCCGACAGGTACGGCTTGAGTGCCGCCATGACGCCGCCCAGCGCCCCCGACGGGGAGAGCCGCATCTTAGGCGCCCAGCATCCGCCCGTCGCGACCAGCTCCAGCGCCGCCTCGGCAGTCTTGGCTACCAGCTCCTCGCGCGCGCGCCGGTCGGCGCCGTTCCCGCCGTCCACGTCCATGCTGTCGCCGCCGGTGGTGCCTTCCTCCTTGATTGCGTCGAGGTGCGGCTTTGCGATGGCCAGCACCACGGCCGCGACCTCCTGGCCCCGGTCCATGTACTGCGACATGTCCTCGTGCGCCCGCGCCACGCGCCCGAGTGCCTTGAAGGCCGGGATACGGTAGGTGCCGTTTGTGCGCTTGGCCTCGCGCACTGCGATCTTGGCGATGCGCTCCTCGAGTGCTGCGTCGCCCTTCCAGAATGCCCCGCCCTTCTCGGCCAGGTCGCCCAGCGCGTCTAGCAGCTTCTCCTTCTTGTCAAACGTCTTTAGGGCTAGGCCTTTGTCCATGGCGGGCCAAAGGGCCTTGAGGCCCGGTACGAAGACCTGACCACTGCTGCCCGACGCCTTGAGGATCGAGCAAACGGCGTCGCCGGCTGCGAGTGCCGCACCGTGCTTGAGTGCCCACTGGGGGGACTCGAGGCCGCGGTTGGCGAGCTGCGCGATCTCGGTCGCGTACCGCGCCGTGGTGAGGTGGCCGCCGGCGTGGCGGGTCCATACTGCCGTAAACGCCGTGGCGGCGTACTTGTCGGCGTCGTGCCTAGCGACGAAGGCCAGCGGCAGCAGGCGTGTCTCGACGGCGGCGAAGTGGTCAGGCGACACCTCGGCTACGGCGCGTACTGCGTCTGCGATTCTCTGGCGGCGCATCTCGTCCTCAGCGGAGAAGTAAAGCCCTTCGAGATACTCGGCGAACTCGAGCTTGGAGCGGTCGTTTGCCAGCCGGATGACGTAGGCGGCGGCGCGAGCGTAGGAGACGCTGACTTCATCATTGCGGTCCAGGATGTGGCGACGGAGCAGCTTCAGGAAGCGAGCAGCGTGAGGTGTGAACACGAGGCCGTGACGGATGGAGAGAGTCTCGAGCAGTTTGCCGCAGCCGATCTTGGTGGGCATGCCGATAGCTTCTTTGATGGTCTGCTCAACGCGGTCGAGCACAGCAGGCATGGTGTCGGCGTCGACACAGCGGAGGCAGTCCTCAACAGCTTGCATGAGGGGTGATGACGAGACGAGCGAGCTCCTGAACTTGTCGATCTTATCGCGCTTGGACTCTCCGACTCTCTGGTAGTGGTAGTTGATGGCCTCGGGCTCGACCGTGCTGAGCAGGTTGAGGAATGCGGGCACAATCTCAGCAATGTAAGGCCGCAGCACCTCCCCTCCGTGCTTTATCATGTCCATCAGAGTAACGATGGTGATCCCTTGAACCTCCTTGACGTTGCTCTGCATCCCCTTGTCGGAGAGGAGGAAGGGCAGGGCTTCGCTGATCATGGACTTGGCCGTCGCCGACGAGTTTGATGTGCTACCGCCGCCCTCTTCGAGGTGCCGGGCGAGCGTGTTCGAGAGGCTGATGCAGAGCTTGAAAGCAGCCTCCCGAACGGTGATCTTGACATCGTCGACGACCCTGGCCGCGGATTGCCAGATCTGCTTGTAGAACTTCTCGTACTTGACGAACTTCTGGCCAGACAGCAGGTCGGCGATGGCGGCGCAGCTGGCCTCACGCACTCTCCACTCCTTGCCAACAATGCTCTTGAGCAGGTCGGTCAGGATGGCGTCAAAGTGGGTGTCGATAACGGCGCCTGAATCCTTAACCAGTGCCTTCCATATGTCGTTCATCGACTTTTGTACGTTGGGGTTCGGGTCGAAGCGGTACCTGTACAGCTTGGGGTAAAGCTTGGGATCAACCTCGGACTCGGACAGGATGCTGCTCAGACCGAAGCGGCCGAATGCAGACCTGGTCGACCAGGTGGCGGCGTTGGTTGCGAGAGACATGAACCTGTAGATGAGGCTCTGATCTCCAACCTCGTTGGCCAGGCTGATGATGTCCTTGTACGATGTGATAGACTTGCCCTCGCCCGTGGGGAGAGCGCCGGCCTCGAACAGCTCGGTGTCTTGATCCACCTTGAGCTTGGGTCCAGACCCCGTAAAGGTGGACACGAGATCACGAACAAGATCCGCCCTAAGCTCCGCATCACCCCTCTCGTATGCAAGCGACAGCCCCCTGGAAGCAGTCTCTTGAACGAGTTCGTCACGCGCACCGAGCAGACGCATGAAAGCCGCCTGGCCCTCGCGAAGTCTCGAGTGGATCTCGGGTAGGTGTGAGCAGTGCTGGATGAGGCAGAAGAGCCATATGCCGGATGCCTTGAGGAGCGACGGTTTGGTTGACTTGCAGTCCTGGAGCAGCTTCTCAAGTACTGCAGAAACGCTCTCGCTGCGCTTGGCTATGCGGTAGGACGTGTCCTTGGGCTCTACATCGAGTGTGAGTTGCACCACCTCGGCGTCCCAGCGTGCCACGGCTGCTGTGATGGCCTCGCCCACGGCAAAGTGTACTTCGGCCTGCTTGATCTCGTAAAGGCCGTAGAGTTTGGTGAGAATCGACTTCAAAGTTGGCTCCTCGTCTTCAAGCTTGGCAAGGGCAATAGGGAGGCGTCCCAAGGCAGTGATTGCTCGCTCATTTCCTTTCTTCGCCTGAGCAGAGAGCACATCGGTCCAGGAAGTGATGGCTTTGGATCTTGACTCGCCCTCGGGCAGGGCAGGGAAACCGGAGGTCCAAAGCTGGATGACCGTGTCGAAAATGGCGTTCTGGAAGGATGGAGAGGTGGCGGACAGATCATCCGGGCTCGGCAGGATGGTATGCAAATCGCCGAAACCATCAGCCGCAGACGTTGCGGTGAAATATGTTGACGAGTAGTATGCTGATCTTGATAGCAGATGCGCGAGCGCCAAAAAGGCTCCTTGGGCGGCGTTCAGATCGCTGCCGACTGCCGTTTTCCAACCACGGGCCGTGTCTTGTAGAGTTTTCCTACCCTCGACGATGGCAGTCTCTGAGTTGGCAGGGTGGGCACCAAGGATGCCATATGCTCTGGCTCCGAGGGCGCGAAGCTCATCGCGGTTGGACATTGCGAGAGGCAACAGTTCGCGGGCTCGTTCGGCGAGGCTCTCGAGCACGGCCTGTGGTGCAAGCGACGCAACGTCCACAAAGCACTGAGCACAGTCGACCGATATCTGCGGCTTTTCCTCGAGTATGCCTTCAAAAGCGGCCGTGAGAAGCTCAAGGAGAGGCTGGCGCGCGACTCCGGCCAGATACTCTCGGACGAGCTGGCGGGAGTTGAGATCGGAGCGGATCTTGGTCTCCAGCTGGCTCTCCCAGCCTCGCTCAATTTTGAAGTCCTTCTTGAGCGCGGACAGAAGCATCATACGCGTGCAGTACTTAACCGTCACAGGATAGGCGTTAAGTCGATCTCCGGCAAAGTTCCCGAAGAATGTAGAGCCGCGGTGATCTGAGGGACGGTTATGTCCGCCATCGGCATGCGGGATGATCTCGGTGAAGTACTTGTGCACCATCTCCTTCCAGTCGGGCAGCTCGGGGGACGCGTCGTCGTTGGCGTAGTAGGTCCAGGGGTCCAAGCCCTTGTTTCCTTCCTCGACGACATCGCTGCGCTCGTCGCGGCCGCCGGCGACCGCCAGGATATCGATCCACCGGGCCGTGACGTCGGACAGCGGGAGGTACCGGTTGGCGCACCGGACGGCGGCGGGCCGGGCGCTGCGCACCACCTCAGGGCCCCGGCCCACGGGCGTGGTCATGTACGTGAGCAGGATGTCACGGACCATACCCAAGTCCTCGGGCCGGAGGAGGGCGAAGAAATGGGTCATGCCGGGGAGGGCACCCTCGACGCTGGGCGCGACGTCGGACGGGTCCTCGGCCAGGGACCGGAAGAGGAAGCCGAGCAGCGCTTGGCTCTCGTCATCCTTCAGCGTGGCCGTCCTGGCCAGCACGCCGATGGTCTCGTAAGCGCGCGCCCGCAGCGCCGACTGCTCCAACGACAGCGGCGCCTTGTGCGGAACTGGCCAGCCTTGCTCCAGCACGAATGTACGGAGCCGCTCGACCAGCGGCGCGCCGAGGGAGAAGTTGGGCCTGCCGAGGCCGATGCGCGCCACCCAGTTGAGGTACTCGAAGAGGGCCTTGTGTAGTTTCGTCTGCTCAAGGCCCAGCGCCACCATGGGCACGGAAGCAGAGCCGCTGTCGATTTCCATCGGCTCCTGGCCGAGCCCACCCATGTCGATCTGGACCACATCCGTGATCTCGCGTGCGAAATCGACGGATGCGGCGGACCTGGCCAGGAGCGTCAGGATCCGGGTGCGGTACGGCGGCGGCAGGCGGGCGTGGGCCGAGAAGAGGCTCTCGACGTGCCTGGTGTCCTCGACAGACACCGCTGACCTCTTGAGGAGGTCCTCGCCCACCGATGAGATCCGGCCGTCCGAGTTGGCTGCGGCGAGGACGCACGGGATGAAGCGCTCTTCGTCCTTGAAGGCGCCACTGGCCAGGAAGTTGATGGCACGGACGCGCGTCTCGGCGAGCTTGGCGCCATGCGGCGACATCCACGTGTCCCGCTTGCCGTTGGTGAGGAACTCGATGTCCTCTTTGGACAGGCCTGCCGAGTCGTCGGTCGTTTGCTTGAGCAGGAGGAACTTGCCCAGCCAGTCCGCAACATAGACGGCATCCTTGGAGTCCGAGAGGCCAACCTCATCCTTGAAAGCGGTATCCTCCTTGGTACCTCTTGGTGGGACCTTAACATCTGGCAGCAGGCGGAGCAGAAGGTTGAAAAGCGCTGGGTTGCTTTGTGAGGCTGTGCCGATTCCATCAAGAAGCACGGCTACGAGCTCGCTGCGTTCCTCGGGCTCAATGCGTCCAATACCAATCTGGATAAACATCAAGTCTAGATGCCGGAGGATTGCATTGTCTGTTGACTTGAACTGGGTAAGGAGAGCCTTGACGGGAAGCACGACACTGCCCGGGTGTCAGCAATGGCTCGGTGATCCGAGAAAATGTGCGGCTATACGTACCCTGGAGCTTGGACATATCCCTTTAGTCTCTGGCATATCTCGATAACCTAAACGCGCGCTTGGTGTCAGTGGCAAGACATCAGGTCACCTGCTTCTACACCTCACGATACTTACCTTCTTCCTCACAGATGCGTGTTCGCTTTTAGCCTTTAGCAGCAGGGGTGCCAGGTATATCTTGAGGAGGTCTTGCAGCTTTTTCTCATTGTTTGCAACGGCGAGGATTTTGAAGTCGACCCTGTCGACAAGTTCAAGCTCCTTTTGTTCTGTGGACATTGTAAACTAACCGGCCAGCTGGGAGGCTCGGCAGTGTCTGGCGAAGTGCCGTTCTGATAGGGCGGGAGCAGCCGTCGTGTTTGGACGAGTGGAGATACAAACGGCGCAAGATATGATGGAAATATGAGGTACCGAGCAGTTGGAGCGGGATACAACGATGGAGCTGGGAAATAATAGGGACGATGATGATGGATTCGACGCCGTTCATCAAATAGGGCGGTCGACTATCAATATTTGAAGCTTCCATATAGCCACCAAGGAGCGCGGTATCGTTTTTCGTAAGTGCGGGCTGCCTGGGTATTCCAGTCAGCAGCGCGATCACGTAGTCCAGGTCCAGGTATCCAGTCGCCTCGTGGACGGTCAGCGTGCGTGGCGGGGCTCCAGCTTCAGACCCTGGTCGCCGGTCCTGCCGCTATCAGCCAATGCGCGTTTGCTCTGGATTTAGAGTTATCACCACGTGACATGCCACCTGCTCGGCCAGCCTTTGATTGCTGGTGTCATTACCATGCACCCCATTCAAGCAGCTCGCATCGTGACGACTAGTTGTAACAAGATCATCATTAGATGCAGGCTTTTGTAAAGCTATAGGTATATGCTTCCATATTTCCATCTCCAGAGAGACCTCTGGCCCAGTCACTTTGCATCCCTCATTCACACTTTCTAGCCGCAAGTCAGGCGGCATTGGCGCAGCGATTCGTTCCTCATTATGCATCACATTGCGAGAAAGACCTTTTATGAACATCCGCCGCCACCATTTCCTGTATTTAGATTTTCTTTTCACTGTACATTTGGCAGGTCTAGGTTATCCGGATGAAATTCTCACGTAACAATGGCCGGCTAAATACGCCCACGTTGCCCAGGCGGCTCGGCTAGATAGGACAAAGAGTGGTATTGCGCATGGCGCCTATAAAGCAGCCATGTTTAGGTACATCTCGGCACTGTCCGTAAGATTATTCCGAGTCCGAGGCATTCAAGTCATTAATGCACCCATCGCCCTCGACCCCATGAGATCCGTCTCGGGGCGCCGGATCGCAGCCGCAGGCCTCCCTACGGCAGATGGACGTGGCGGGTACCTTGCAGCGACCACGGCGCAATCTCCAGCCCGGGGGCATCGTCGCATCCCGGCTGATGAGCCTTGGAGGCATCTGCGCGTCACCATGAGGCAAAACGTGGCCGATCTGGGCGCGCGGGCGCAAATTCATGTCCGCGACGGGTTATATGTTGCCGGATACGGTGTGTCTTCCCGGCCACGTCGGGCCGGCCGAGAGGAGCGCTGTTTTCGCAGACGAACAGCAAAAAAAATCCCGCACTGCACCCCTCTCGTCCAGCCGAGAAGCGCAGAAGACGAGCACATCGGAGCCAACTGTCCAAATGATGAATCGCATGCAAAGGATTAGGCTCATTCAAGCTTTCCGGTCGAAAACAAAAAACCGTGAGCTGGTCTCGATGCTAGCTCATGACCAACCACCAATGGCGGGACACAGATGGCTTTTTCTGGAGGCTGCTGATTTCCAGCCATTGGTTTGCGCCACCAGAGGACATGAAAACACGTCCCGGATGTCGGCAGGTCAATACGCGGGCCTTGGAAGGGGGCCGCCGGCCATCGCTGATCGGCCCCCAAAAAACCTGGGTTCGGTGAGATTGCGCGAGCGCCCACGACCCCTCATCGCCATCAAATGCAGGCTACTGTGCCGCCGGTGCGCACGCCCAAGCATACAAGGCAGCAAGCAAGGAGTGGTCAGTCATTGTTCACACGTGTTGGTGCTCATTGCTGCTGACCACCATCCGCCAGCTAGCCAGCACACCTTCCCAGGCAGCCCATTTATAGTTCACGTGTCTCTTCTGCAGGCCTGGATGACGCACATGAAGCCAATGTGTGTTTGTGCCAATGTGCCCTGTTAGTGCGGGCGACGATGAAGCTGCAAGTGGCTGCCCCTTCCGATGATGCAATTGGGCATATCGGCCAGTGGGGCGCCACCAAGGTTTTTTTTTTTTTTCAGAGCCGAGGGCGGATGGACGCCCAGGACAAGGATTGAGGGAGTCAGAACAGACAACAAAAATGGGCAGAACGCAAGAAAGTGACCTCGAAAAGAGCGCGATCCAGCTCCACATCTGGCGCGAGAGCTTCATGTCAGCCTGTTGGCTCCCAGCCACAGACAGCAAGCACTTGTACCACGCAAGAGACAAAACCTTGCCTCCCTCATCCCGATCTGGATTCTCAACCCGCCGGGATTATCCCCGTGGATGATGCCGTCGTCCTCGAGAAGGGCGTTCTGTTTTTGATTTTTTGACCCTAAGTCTCTTGACTCGTCCAGTGAAATTGTGTGCCATGCAAGGTGCCCCTGTCATGGTGGATTTTTTTTCTGGAGCTCGGCCCTTTTGGCTCCTCTCCACACTGTGAGCAGCAGCTTCGTAACGAGGAGGTACCTGACCTCTACCTCGCGGCCCTCCCTGGCTCGATCGACCCTAAATGGGGGGCGCGCATGAAAGAGGTCCATCTCGCACCACCCACCAATTACCCACATGAGGAGACGATAGGCGCACTCCCCATGCCACCACCTGCTGGTGCCCAAGTGTGTGTTTGCTGCTGCGCCGCCAGTCCGTCTTTGGTGTCACGGACCCGAGCCACCAGCGAGCGGGCACTGCAGTCACACGCGCCTCTGAGCGATCGGGAAACATACCCAGCGAGCTGGAGGGTCTTTGGGGCCATGGGGGGAGCTGACTCGTACGGAGGCCGTTATTCCCTGGTTCAGAGGAGTTGAACCAGGGAATGATTGTCTGGGAGATTCCTATCAGAGTCTGGTGTGCTGAGCTCGAGCAGATGCGCGCGCTTGCGGTTGACTGCCTGCTAGCGCGGCAGTGAGCAAGGGGGACCAGCAAGGGACGCGGCATGGAAAAAAGACGGGGTGGGCGAGGAAGATTCGAGAAAAGCAAGGAGGCTGGCGTAAAAGCGGGGGAACCCGCCCCAACTACGACGGCGGCGTCGATTTCGCGATTCCAAAGGAAAAGGAAAGCAAAAGAAGCCTGCCAACGTTGGAGTTAACGGGGTCATTGAAGCAAGGGAGATCTCTGGTCGATCCCGGGGACTTCCATTGGGCATCTTGGCAGCTGGGCGGGCGTGTGCGAACGAGCGTGATGAGTGATACCCTAGCTCAATGAAATGGTGGACAGCTTTCACTGGAACGCCGTGCTGTGTTTGCTTGCTAGCCCTGAAGCGGGGTTGAGCATAGCTATTGCACACACATTGGAGTTGAGGGTGCGAGAGGCGCCAGGAGGCTGGCTGCACCATAACCAGCCGTCATGGATAAGGAGGATGCCGTGATACTTCCAGCGAGCCAGTGGAAGCAGGCCTGCTGCTTTGATGGTAGCCCGGGCGAACTGTCATGTTTCCTGTGCCGCCCCGTGTGTCTCTGTGCGATGAGGCCTAGAAAATCATAGGGCGCACAGGTTTGGGTAGAGGCAGGGGCCATCACGGCCGGTGCTGTCGTGTTCCGTCCTGTCTGATGGGCTGCTGATACAGCACATTGCAGACGAGCGCCGTCTACTTTTATCGCGAGGCAGCATTTTCCATCTGTTGTCATGCGAGTAAGCCTGTGACCTGGGGTGAACCTTGCTATCAAGGTCAAGCTCCACCGCGGCAAGCATTGCCCTCAATGGCGGACGATTTGGGCTGATTCTTGTGAGTCAACCTTTACCTAGGTCTGCGGACTGTGGGGGACGAGGAAAAGTTGCCCACCTCGTCAATCTCATGCGAGTGATGTGCTAGGGAGTTGTGTGGCGAGAGGGAAACTATTACGTAGGAGAGGCCCTCTTGCTCTCAGCTTTTTCGGCGTTTGAGGTGAGGCATCATGCTAGATCCGTTTCGTTGGGGATGGAGAGCAGACACCTTGAGCTCTTCTGGTTAGGTTCCGCCATGCAACCACGACAGGAAAAAAGAAAAGTGGGCCTGGGCTGCGCCTGCGAGACGGGGCTGTGACCCAGCTGATGTGTTTGGCTCTTGGAATTGGAGGGTGAGCATGAGCGGCGGGCTGTCGTGCGTCTGGCCAACCAAACGCGCCGTCATCGATCCGTCACCGTCCTCGCTTTCCGGCTGCCGTGGCGTGGCGACGACGGTTCGCTTTCTTTTCCCCTTTGTTCTTTTTTTACTCGTTTCGTGATCCTTTCCCCGGGAGGTGGAGCCGTAATCGAGATTGGGGACGGCCGATCCGAGCCCTGTCCCCTGGGCTCGCGCTCTCTTTGGGCCAGTGGTCCTTCACATGCCTGGAAGGAGGGAGAACCCGAACGCTGCTGTGCCGCCATGCGCAGGACCTGATCGCCAGGAATCTTGACGAACGTGAACTACCGAGCGCTCCTCCTTCCAGGAGGGTCCCGCCTGCGCAAGCCACGGTTCCGTCAAGACCGGCCGCGACACAGCGGACAGGCCATGTCTGGCTGGCTCGTCACCCTGCAACTGCAACTCGGGTGCACAAGGCACTGTGCTCGTCCTGTGCACCGCTGCGTTCTTGCTACTTGGCCTTTGCCGCACCTCAACAACAATGGGTACCTTGAGCTCCCACCTCGTTCGACTAGGGACAGGAGAGGCGGGCGGACGCGGGCGGAGATTAGACCACCCGCTGTGCGACCAGGGAGTCGGTTGCCAATTGGGCTGCGAGGGAGGCCGGCTGTGGCACGGCAGGCGGGCCTACGATGCGCCAGCGCAGAATCCAAGGGAACAAGGGAACACAGCACAGCAGGGCAGGGTCGGACGGGTGGTGTCAAGTTTGCCCTGCTTTGGTGCTGGCTCGGGGCCGTGCATGCTTCCCTCGGCTTGGGCCACGCCCCTGATGCTTCTGCTACCCAGTCCTTGGGAGCGAGGAGAAAGCTGCCATGCTCAAAACCCAATGGCTTTCTCTGGCCACCGAGGGAACACTGATCTAGACGATACCAGGAGCTTCGTATTGACATCACGGGGCGGCCTGGGTCGTTGCGGCGGAGCGGAGAGACTGAGCGCTCGCCCTAGGCCCCTCCCCCGGATCACCCAAGGGCTGTTGGGTGAGGACAGGACACGCTGGCCATGGCTCGGCGAGATCCGACTGCGCAATGCATCAAGGCAGGAGGTAGGTGGCGTTTCCGCCGGGCCAACAAACGGGCAAATCCTAACTGACCCTTTTTGGTGTCTTTTCAATTCTCCTCCCTTTCTGTTTGCTTGCGCACACTGATCCGTCGGGCGGCCCGTGGCTGGGAGGGCTTTGAATGAATCGATGAAACATTGTTTCTGGCCCTCCCAGCTTAGGCAGCCCAGAACGGCCACCTCGGGCTGTGTGGTCTGGGGCAGTCATTCATGCACCCCTCCAGCTCCCAGGTGCCAGGGGGGTGTGTGTCGATGTGACTGGCATGGGGCAGAGCTCGCAGCGAGACTTTTGAAGGTGAGCTGGCGCGCGCGCAAAAGGATGGAAGGGAGCGATGAGCCTTACTGCACACCCCCTGCTGGCAACCCCATGCCCCATGCCAGACAGGGCTGGTGCGTCTCTGGCCGGGTGTCCACACTGTTTGGCGACGGTGGCTTGGTAATGCGGTCACTCTCCCGGCATGGAGCGCGCACACGCAACCGCGCCCACAGGACGCAGGACGGGCCACACCCAAGCACGCAACGAGATGGTGGGTGGGCGGGTTCCTCTTGCCCTCGCAGCAGCAGCAGACCATCGCGAGGGGCTGAAGCGGCAGGCGCGCAGGCAGCGCAGGCAGCACAGGCACGACAGCCCGACAGTGCGAGTGGACCAGGCCCCTCCCCACTGGCCAGAAAAGGGTACTTCGTCGCTACCTCGTGCGTCAGGGGCTTCGTGCATCCTCAGTAGTGAGGTCGGTTCCTCCGCTTCCACGCCTCATCTCATCCCCAGCAGTTTCCTGGCGCACACTGCCCGGTTTTGACTTTTTTCCTCAGTCGCTCCATCTCCACATCCCTCCACAAGCTTCCTGCCGGCTTCCATCCACCTTGTCTCCGTCTCACTCTCCCTGCTTGTCTTCCTTCTCTCTCCTCTCTCCCTCTTTTTTTTTCTTCTCTCTTACCTCCCCTACCCCTTCTTACTGTCCCAACCCCTCTGCCGGTTGCGTTTCTTTTTTTCGTGCCATTGCGATTTCAAGAAGCATCATTTTTGTTTCGTTGTCGTGTCCTTTGCTCGTTTTTGCCTGTCGCATCCGCCGTCACCCGCACGTCGCAGCAATTCTTTTTGTCTGTTCCCGACGTCGTGTGTGATTTCGCGCCCCACGGTTGCAAAAACGGCAGACCACAAAATCCCTTCGGTCCACACACTTTTCCCTGCCTCTCGGTTTCTTGTCCCAGCGAGCAAAATACAAAAAGGAGCCCCTCCAGCGTCGCCCGCGGCCCTCGACTCTTTTCGACCCAATTAATTCGACCCTTGCCCTCCCTTCCTTCCTGCGCGCGCTCCTGCTACATTGGTCTCTCGGTGGGAGTTTTCGGAGAACACGGCTCTATTGTTTTGTCGCTTCTGCGGATACCGGCGTTCGGAACCCTCGAGGCAACATTGTATATTTTGCTGCTTTTCGGCGCCTAAAAAGTGAGTAGGATCCTTGCTCTTTTCCTTCCCTCTCGTCCCTGCCTGCTCTTGTGTGAATTGCGCCGTGAAAACATTGGACCTGGACCTGGACCGGCCTTGGACGACCTCGAAAACCCATCTGGCGACTTCGACCCCTGAGACGCCCCTTTTTGCCCCTGAAGCTCGCTCGGGCGCTGCGGCGCGGGGTGGGCAGATAGCATTTCAGTGGGCCGATGTGCGCGCGAACGATATCTCGAGGGCAAGCCATTGGCCGCAGCAAGGAATCGACTGGGAGGTGCGGGCGATGGACGGCGATGGTGGGAGTTGCTCTTCGGATTCGTGGTGGGGGCGGGACCAGCGCGGGGAGCGAGATGCGATTGCGCTGAGGCGCATTCTGGAGAAGCTCGCCTGGCGCACAGGACATGATACGCTGCGACCGCCGCTCCACTACCTCGAGCGCCCACAGATGTCGCATGCGCGCCCACGATAGCTTGCCAGCAGTCCACGGGAGTTAAATGGACGTTGCGAAGACGAATTGAAAATACAGCGCACGCGGCGTTGCAACGACCACCCGAGCCCGAGCCCCTCTCGTCCTCTGCCCCCCCTGGACAGCAATCCGATGGGTCCGATTCGTCATCGTCGTCTTCCATCGCCCGTTCCGAGCCACAATGCTCCCGGATCGACTTCATCTCACCCGTCCAAAGGCTGCTGCTTGTGAACGGAGATAAGATGTCTTGGCGTTCTGCCCAGATCGTTCTTCAGCTCCGAGTACGACCTTCGTCCGCAACACCACCTGGGCCGTCGGGTCGGCGCAACCTGAAGATCTCCTGGCGGTTGCGCGTGGCTGGGCAGTTCGTGTCGCAGCCTCAGTTGCTATTCGCCCAGGCTTGGCTTCGCCTTCTTCGCAAAGGCATTCCCATCGCGTCCTGGCTCTGGCATCTCCTCTGGGAAACAGCCACCTGGTACAGGCGCTCGAATGTGCAGTCAGTGCCAGTGTCGTTGCGCGCGTCCGGGTCTACTGTCTCAATCGCCCTTCTATCCTGGTTGGGATTTTTGCGAGTCCTCAGAACGAACGTTCAACATGTTGCAGCTGCCGTCTTGCTCCAGTCCCTGGTGCGTGGACGGCCAAGCAACCAAGTCCCTGAAACCCCGGGGGCTCCGGGAGGTCGCAGGTGCCCCAACTGCTGGTTGCAACTAGCCTCGTATGCAGGTCTCCGAGGCGGCCGCAGCCGAAGCCCCCAAGTTTGTGCGCCCAAGAGCTGCACCATCTCTCCGCGAAAGCTCTCTGCCGCGCGTGCGCCACGCCTTCGTTGCTACCCAACGACCGTGACGGTCCTGTCTCACCGTTCAAGATTCCAGCCATGCGGTTCCTACCTACCCCCTGCGGAGTGTCTGGCTGCTTGGCAGGCGGCGACGGCGGCATTCTGTCGTGACCTGGCCATCATGCTGGGACCGGACCAACAGACCAGTAACCGACGGTCACCTCTCCTCAAAAGCGAGCAACGCCTTTGCCTCGCACCGGATGGCGCATTCATCACAATTCTCCGGCGTCCTTGGTTGCCCACCGGCGGGTCCCTTCACTGGATCCGAGAAATCCCGACCTGTGCAAAATGCCTGGATTCAACCTCACGACGGGCCGGTCTCCGCCTGGGGCTCAGCTATATCCTTCCTGGCACCCGGAATACACCCACCATCAGCCTACAATTTACAAAACGGCCAGCTAACATAGCTTGGGGGTTGCTAGGATAATCGGTCACCCCATCCACAATCGTCTGGGTTATTGAAGCGATCTTTCGACTCTGTTTGGTGAGCTTTGTTTTGTCTTTTATTTCTTCTGCTTCATCCACACTTTTTTCGGACCCTTGATCTACGAGCATGCACTCCTTCCGCCTGCGGCACACTGGTCCACCATAGGTCCATACTGGTCGGCCTACTTGCTTCTGGATTCGCCCCGCACTTCTGCTGTTTTCCTCGGGACGGGAACACGTAAACCACTCGTCGATTTGATGTTCCGACTTGTCAGCGGTCTTCCATCTACGTCGGCCATGTATATCGCCCTTAGCTGCCAGACCTAGGTGGCTTGCAAACCAACGCATCGTCCATGGATGACGATCAGCCTGCCAAGATGGCCGCCGAGGACTAGCAACAAGAGATCACCACCGGAACGTTATACCCAGCTTTTCCCGATGGCCCACGATGCTTTCCGCCGTGCCCGAACCGGCCTTTGCATCTGGGACTCTCTAGTTTTATCACCCTGATATTTCGGCGATCGGGCCCTCACCTCTCACCTCTGACAACCTTTTGGGTATTCTACCTGATGGTATCCTTCCGCTCGGAACACCCGCCCCTGCGTCTAGCATTCAGATTGCGTCTCTAGTCTAGGGCTGGCACAGGGTTTTCATCCGGCACGACCTCCTCGCATCGAACATTCCCCAAAACACGTGCAACACACATGGCAACTTCTAGGCCCCACGATTAGGGTCCCTGATGAAGTGTTACTCGAGTGAAGATCTTGCTTCGGCAAGGCCAACACTCCACTCACCATACCGCTAGCCACCTAGTGCCGGCCTCTACGTTGACCCTAGTAGGGCTACGTTTTTTCTTTTTTTTCTTTTTTTGGACCTTCCATCCCAGGATATTCGACTTGTGCTACTCTCAACAATTCAACAGCCAGCTCCATCGTCAGATGCCAACATAAACTAAACACCGATGCTCTTATTACCCGACCCGGCCTTCCGTCCCGAACTAAAGGCCTGCCGCCCAGCCCTCCATCCTGTTTTCCAACTTGGCCCAAACCCTGGAACCGCATGCCACAGGCAGCTCCCACTCGACCAAAGTTTATAGTTATGTTCCAATTGGGCTCCGACATAAGCACCGTGTCGACTGGTGACGCTGGTATACTTCGGACATCGCTCTACCTCCGAGCCTTACAGTTTTGCCTCGCGTGGACGCATCATTCCTCTACCACAAGCACCGATCCTGCCCCTTTGCACTTCCGGTTAGACACCTCTCCATCGAGGAGCTGCCCCATCACACCGATACCCAGACTTGTTGAAGCTCCTACCCTACCAAACGTCGCAACCCCAGTTTGTATTCTGACGTCCTTGTTCCAACTTGCGGCCCCCTGAGTATCCATATATGGAGCACAATACCGATCGAGCCAGTGCTCGGGTACATCCTACGTTTTAACTGCTACACAGGCCCAATTCTCCAACACATTACCTTTTCCTTCCGGCTCGCCCTGGGTCCAAACTTGGCCTCTTGTGCAAAAGGCCTATCTGCTTCTTGAGGTTCCATCGACCCTTTCACCTCCTGTTCTGGCCCACATCCAATACTGTAACGGCGACGTTCATCTTTGATCAGGTCTCCAGGTCTCTAGGCATCCATGGTTCTCGGTCCCGCTCCTGGATGTTTAGGACACCCTGGCCATGATTTAGGCTCTATGCCCTTAATCGCTAGACATTCGCAGATGTATTTCTCAACTACGCTTGGCACAGTCAGTACTAACGGCCAACCTCTAGGTCACCTATACGCTAGTGACCCCGCTCACTCCCCTCGGCCCTTTTCTGGTCTCCCATCTGTAAGTTGATGCTACTGCGTTGATTCCCTCGATTCCCTCCGTTTCTCTCAGCATTTCACAGCCACATCCCTTCCTATTGTGCCCGGACAACGATACCCGACCGAATGGCTTGCGTATATCTCCGCCCGACCCCAAACACACCCTATTCTCCGGCCAGTCTATCCGCTATGGGCTACCCTCCCTCACTGCAAAAAGTTTCGAGGTCATCTTGCATCTCCACCCCAGCTCACATCCCCGCACCCAGTGGTCCCTGAATGTTTGGAACAAAATCCCTTGCTTGTATCCAATTCCGGTGGCCTAGCTAGTGCGCGGCTTGGAACTCCAAGCGGAGGGCGAGCCACTGAGGATAGGTTGGTGGCTAGGAGGCTTGCGGCACGGTATATCTTGCTTTAGTTCTGCTCAACCTCATCCCTATCTTGCTTGTCTTGCCCTGTGTTCAGCCATTCTCACCCCTACCTTGTTGCTACTGGCAAGTGCCTAGTTCTGCTGTGCACAAGCTTGGAGATGCACTATTCTTTAAATCCTTCTACCTCCCTTCGCCACCCTGCCCAGGATCGTCGGTCTTTACCTTGGTCAGTGACTGTGGTTCGCCAGGCATGCCTGGCAGTGGCAGGGCATTCATGGCAGATTTATGAGCGTAGGGTTGTGTACCTGGGGGAGGGTCACACGGTTGGGCAGGGCGTTCCTTCTCTTTTGGGAAGCCCAGACAACGCACCCACGAAGGGCGTCAGTGTGGGAGTGCCCCGCCCAATGAGGCCGGCCCCGCTGCCATTCTCTCATTGGCTGGCTCTTAGAGCGCGCTGTTTCGAGGGCCTATATTTTTATCTACACCTTGTGAATCATCCCTTCGAGCACAACATTTTACACACCAGGACACCACACCCGCAACAATGGCGGGAAACCAGAGCCAACGTCCACGACACGTGGAATCGTCTGTGTTGCCCAACCGTACGAACAGCTCCCCCCTGGGTCACGAAGTCGTGAAACGTCCCCCCCTTTTTTTTTTTTTTTTGGGCCGCTTTTACATCTTTTGCTTTATAGGCAAACTTGCTAACTCTGACCTGGAATAGTCCTACTCCTCGACCCCGGCCCCGACCGCGACCAAGTGTTGGATTGGCTCCGTGTCCTCTCCTCCCCCTCCCCCAACGACCAGCTGCAGCTGGCGCTTTACGAGGTCGCGGACCTCGAGGCCAGAGAAGCCGAGCTCCTCGCTCGCACCAACTCGGCCTCGGCCTCCATCGCGGTCCTTCGGGACGAAATCGCCGCCACCAGCGGCAGAATCCGAGTCCTAGACTCGTACGTCGAGATCCCCGGCGGCTACCAGCGAGAGCCGACCTCGGACAACGTCCGGCTCGTCTCCCAGAGCCGCGCAGAGAGCCGGTTCCTGCTCCAGCACCTGCAGGCCCTCCAGATACGCCTATCTGCCGCAGAGATCGAGCGTGGCCGTGCCCAGTTCGAGATCGACCAAGACGTATTGGTCCGACTGCCTGGCCTTCGCCTCGACCTACTCAACGCAGCTCGAGCGTATCACAATCTCCCAGTGCCTCCTCCTCCCCCCCCTCCAGTGCCTCCTCCTCCTCCCCCTCCAGTGCCTGTTGCGCCTGCGGCCGTAGTTGCCCTGCCTCTGTCGCCGCCCCATACGCCGCCCCACCTCCCACAACCTTTTAACCACCCTCCGCCGCCTCCTCCGCCGCCGCCTCCACCTCCACCTTCCTCTTCTCTTCCACACAACAGCGCATCTGCGTAAAAAGCTTCCAAGATGTCGAACTTCTCGGGCGCCTCTCAGCCGGGCAATGGCCACGGCGAGAACGGCGGCAACATGAACGGTTCCGGCGCTCCCGCGATCGAGAACTATTCAGGTGCTCCAACCGCCAACAACGATGCTAAGACCCTCTGGTAGGACCTCCGCTCACTTCTCTGTTTCGCACCTCGCCGCGACCCGTGTCTGTCACCCGTACTAACATCAATCTCACCTTTAGGATGGGCGAGCTTGAGCCCTGGATGGACGAGAATTTTGTGAAGCAGGTGTGGCAGACGGTCTGTGGTGAGGCCGTCAATGTCAAAGTCATTCGCGACCGTCAGTCCGGTAACGCCGGCTATTGTTTTGTCGAGTTCAACTCGGCCGAGGCTGCCAACAAGGCGCTTCAACTGAACGGATCTCCTGTTCCCAACTCTCAACGTGTTTTCAAACTCAACTGGGCCTCTGGTGGCGGTCTGGTGGACCGACGGTATGTTCTCTCCCATCACTTTGACCTCTACCCAATCATGCAACTGACATTGGATGCTTCATCCCTCAACAGCGACGAGCGTGGTCCCGAGTTCTCCATCTTCGTCGGTGACCTTGGACCCGAAGTCAACGAATTCGTCCTGGTGTCTCTGTTCCAGGCTCGGTTCCCGTCCTGCAAGTCAGCTAAGATCATGACGGACGCTATGACCGGCCAGTCTCGTGGTTACGGCTTTGTGCGCTTCACGGACGAGGGTGACCAGCAGCGTGCGCTGCTTGAGATGCAAGGTGTCTATTGCGGCAACCGCCCCATGCGCATCTCGACTGCCACTCCCAAGACGCGGTCTCATCAGCAATACAGCGCACAGGGCCAGCACGGTGGCCCGATGCCCATGGCCGCTCCCGCTCAGCAGCAGAACATGAACTGGGGAATGCCTTATGGCTTCAACCAGCCGGCGCCTCCTGCAGCTAACAACTTCAATGCCGCCATGCAGCCCATGAACCAGTTCACTGATCCCAACAACACGACCGTCTTTGTCGGCGGCCTGTCTGGCTATGTCACCGAGGACGAGCTTCGTTCCTTCTTCCAGGGATTTGGCGACATTACGTATGTCAAGATCCCTCCCGGCAAGGGCTGCGGCTTTGTTCAGTTCGTCCATCGCCATGCCGCCGAGATGGCCATCAACCAGATGCAAGGCTACCCAATTGGCAACTCTCGTGTCCGTCTTTCTTGGGGTCGTTCGCAGAACAACTCTGGCGTCGGCACCCCGTACCGTCCGGCTCCTCCTCCGCCTCACTGGGGTGGTGGCATGCCTCCTCCTGGCGGTCCTGGTGGTCCCGGCCCTTTCGGTCCCTTCGGCGGAAACCCTCCTCAGGGTCCTCCCCCCGGCGGTCTTCAGGTGGGTGTCTCCAACAACATGGACTCGGTGCGCTATCCTACCCCCAAACGCACGGTTGACTAACTCCCATCGTCCTCTCGCAGTGATTTTCATGCACTTCTTCGCCCTTAGTTGTGTCCCGCAAAATTATTCTCCGTCATAGCAACGGCGTTTGGTGGGACCTATTCAGGGACGGCGTCTGGGATTGCTTCTGACGACACACCCCCATGAGCACTATCATGAATTTCCGGTTTCTTTCATTCGTGGGCCAAGTTCCTTTCCTTTCAAAATCCTGTATCATAGTCTTGGCTTTCCCCCATCTTATTAGAACAAGAATCCAATGAATGGGGCCGACATGGAAGTTATTCCTTGATCGCCTTGCGTTTTCTCGCTTTCACTTCTATTCTGCGCGTGCCATGGCGATTTTTGCCCCCGCAAATACAAAGGGCGGTCCTGTATCCGTCGAATTTATGTGTCTTCCTAGTTGCTCAACAAGAACATGTGTTCGTGATGTAACATCGAGGTGGCAAAATGGGCAAAGGTCTCGGCGTCCGGGAAGAGAAGCGAAGGCGAGCAAGATGGCAGTGGTTGACGGTGCGGCGTAGAAAGGCTTTGAGATCAGGACGGCTTTGAAGCCGGCCAGCGCACGATTGCCTCTCGAATGCGAAGATGCTCCAACCTGTGGGGTCATGGCCGTGGCAACAGGGTCTCCCAGATGAGAGGCAGGCCATGTCGTTGGTAGATAGCGAGTGGGACCGTCTGTCTGTGCAGACGGATGTATCCGCAGCCTTCGCCCGGACTGCCTTGCGCGCTGCCTTGTCGCTTGTCCTGTGTTTGGTGTGTCCAGTTGACTTCTGACGCATTGCTTTACTGTTGAGCGCGGCCTACAGCCTCACGACGGAGGAGGGGGGGGGGGGGGGGCGGGCGGGC